CAGCCCAACCCAGCCCCCCGAACCCACTCCCCACGGCCCACACCCCCACACCCCTCCCACCCTTCCCCATCTCACCACAAATCAACACCCCATGGTCATGCGTTCAAAAGCTTACATAACCTGTCCCAAGCACAGCCCCAACCTTAACACCACTGTCCCCATCTCTCCCTTGCCTCTCACCTACCGTAGTGCTCTCAAAGACCCTAACTGGAATAATGTTATGTGTGAAGAATTTAATGCATTGATTAAAAATGACACATGGGAATTAGTACCCCCGCTCCCCTCACCAAAATATTATAACCGGAAAATGGCTTTTTAAGCACAAACTTGGCCCTATAGGTGAGCTAACCAAGTACAAAGCCCGATGGGTTGTCTGAGGCTTTAACCAGAGATTCGGAGTCGACTATGATGAGACTTCCAGCCCAGTGATCAAGCCGGCCACTGTTCGCATTATTCTCAGCCTTGCTCTCTCTCTCTCTCTCGAGGATGGCCGATTCATCAGCTGGATGTCAAAAATGCCTTCCTTCATGACCACCTGCAGGAAGTTGTCTATGCCTCTCAGCCATCTGGATTACAGGATCCCCACAGGCCCAATAACGTCTGCAGGCTCAAAAAGGCACTTTATGGATTGAAGCAGGCACCCCGATCATAGTACCATCGCTTTGCTGGGTTTATCTGCATGCACACTGGGTTTCCGCGACTGCAAGTTTGACACTTCTCTGGCCAAGGGCGACCTTGTCACGAACAAAGTGGATGTTTACCTCAACATGGTTGGTGCGCTGATGCTGGATTGGGTTGGTGGAGAGATATACAGCATTGACGTTGTCACAAAAGATGAGAGTGGCGCGGCGAAGGGGCTGCTGTACCTCTAGAAGAAGATCACGGATCCAGCTGGTTTCGGCAACAGCATTTGCAACGACACGATATAATAAAATCTTGTTAATTTACTTTTACAAAATGTGTATTAAATTATTTAAAAAAATAAAGGTTTGAAGCCCCAGCTTGATGCAGTGGGGTTTCAGGCCCATTTCAAGTGAAAGTAAGTTAAAAAGGGATTAAAACTGATATGTCAAAGAGAGAAGGTTTGATGGTCCTGAGCTTCAAACGTATTTCTAGTGCTCTAAATTTCTCAAATTAATTTCTAGTGTCAAATTTTGACCAAATATTACCAAAAAAATATATTGAATTTTCACATAAATTTAATATCAATAAATTTATTTTAAAACAGAATTTTGAAATACTTGTTTAATAATAGGTACTTAAATATAAATATCTTAATTATCAAAAGTTTACATTGAAGACGGTAAGAATTCAAATGAGAAGAATTGAAGCACAAGAAATGAAAATCAATTAATGAGAGGGCTACGAGTGGAATACTTGACGTTCTTACGTGGCTTGGCGCTTAGCTCTTTCCGTTGAGGCAGCTCTGCAATATTCGGCTGCTAGGCAGGGTACAGTTTCCTCTAATGCTCTCTCCGCCCTCCCTCTCACTCCTTCGTCTCTTCCATTTATTTATTTGTCTTCACTCTCCATTTCTTCGCATCTCATCTTTTGATTGAAAGCAAGCGTTTTTGTGCATTTGGATGTTTGAGCGGAACGGATCTTTTTCCTGTTCGGCCCCGGCCATACAGGTAAAAGCTACATTACATTTCAAATTTTCACACGATGATGATGATGACCTCTTTCGGGTGTTCTTTTTATTGTTGAAATTTGGAGTTTTCTTAACATCGGATTTGGGTTCGCTCCTCTGAATCTCTGATAATCCTTGTCTGCATGTAGAGTAGATAATTGAAAATTTTCAGAAACTTGAGTTTTCAGAAATCTATGTTCTGGATCCTCGGAGGTGAGAATTTGTTCTTTGCACCTCTTCAATGGAAGCCTTCTTATTACTTGACGTTAGACTTCTTTCAGATTTTGCACGCTAGACTTCTTTCAGATTTTTGAGCTGGAAATATATGATTTCCAAGCTGTAACGGAACATGTTGTTTGTCACCACAAATTATGAATGAAGATTTCATTTTATGTTCTTGTTAGTTACAAAGCTTTTACCGTTCATTAGCCGATCTCTTGTGCTTTTGGGAAACTTGAAAAAATACATGTGCTTATTGTGTGTGTATATCTTATCTTTTGTTAGAGAGCCTGGAATTCTTGACTTGAGCTTACACTGGAAATGGTAGATCCTCTTTTCAACATCTAAATTTCTCTTGTTTGGATGAACATGATTTACTTATTTTTATAAAATTCCAATTCTCTTTGTTTGGATAGTTACTGGACAGTGACCCTTGTCACCCTTCTACCAAAGGGAGTGACGATATTGATATTGACTGGAGTTCGGAAGATGATCAAGAAATTCAGGATTCAAACTGTAGAGTGACTGCTTCTAGTTATGAGGAGGTAAACACCACAAGAAACCAGAGTGCTCTTCATTATATATTAGGATTTAGGAAAGATTAACTCATTTTTTCATTCACTCATTAATATCTAAAAAACTGTCTCTGCCATAGCATGACTGCATGAGTAGGGGTACAAACTTAATCTAGTATACATGGTTTCATTCTTTTAGTATGACACATACATTTGGGCAGAGGGAGTACAGAGTAAGCATAATGTGAAATGTATAGTATCTGCTTGAAAGTTATGTGTTGGTTCCCCTTATCCACCTATAACTTGTACCATATGGTTCAATCCAGTTGAAATGGGATTATGCATTAGATATCCATACTATTTTATGCTGACTTACAAGGTACAATTATTTTAAAATACATGAGAAATCTACCTGATATTCTAAACCAGTTGAATGAGGTTCTCCATTTAAAGAAAATGAGGTTCCATTGTTATAGTTTCTGTTTGAATATGGTTTCAATATATTCTTTACTAGCCTGTTTGTCTTTGAATTATTTATCTTACGATTTAAATCAAGCTCAACTTCATTTTTCATTGCATCTGTATCGTTCTTGCTTTGAAATGGTTGCAATTGATCCTGTTGTTCATTCTTTGTTTTTGATTTAATTTTCTTATTTTTAAGGCATGCCCAGCATCAACGCCTCACTCTTCGGATCTGATTCAAAATTTTGTTGGGATGGGGTTTCCAAGAGAGCTAGTTGCAAAGGCAATCGAACAAAATGGTATCTTCATTTTCATTACTTTATATGATTATTTGCTTCACTTGGAATTTCTATTTCTGACTTTTGACATCAATACACAGGAGATAACTCTGAATCTATTCTGGAAACTCTTTTGACATATTCGGTTAGCAATCCGTCTTCATTCCTCCAATTTCCATTATTCCATACTTTCTTGATAACATAGTTGTTTATCTTTCAATTACTATGTCATTACAATTCTTCAAGAAACATGTTTTGATTAAAATGATGTCACTTTATTCAACTTTCATGAAAATACGTTTACAATCTCTCTTTGGGCCAAGGAAAATGAACGATGCAGCCAGTTTGGACTTTTCTTTTTCTTCAAAATATTTAATCTTTCAACTTCTTTACCTTGTTCTTCTGTGGGTACCATGGGGTGGGTCTTTTTCTACAGGTTCTTGATATTCCTTTTAAGGAGACACCTTGTGATATCTCTCTTCAAAACCAGCAATGTTTCAACAATGAAGGGAGTTCTTCAGGAAACAATGATAACTTTGGGGATGACTTGTCTGACACCTATAGTTGGTCTGAGGATGATGAGGTATTTTATTTTTTTTCCTTTATTGGATCCTTTTATTTAATGTACATCCATACATATGAACAGTTTCCGATAGATGTTCATTCAATAGAGAACTTTTGTTTCTTGATTCCTGTGGAGGGATACAGGTGAAACACTTGCACTGATCTATCTTAATCATGTAAAACATTAAAATTGTAGACCATCATAAATGGGTTCGGTTTTCGGCATTGGTTATTGGCATTGATTTTAGCCAAATGGTTGTTGGGTTTTTTCTTTTTTTTGCTTCTGGACACATTTAAAGGTTTTCCAAATCATTAGTTTTCAAAAACCATAACCTTTGTTTTTTCGGCGTTGGTTATCGGTATTCGGCGCTGGTTATCGGCGTTAGTTTTTGGTGTCAAAATCAATCAAGTGGTTTTTAAGATTTTATGATTGGTTTTTACTTCTGGGCATATAAAAATAGTTCTCCAACAAAAATATGTTAAAAACCACCTTTTGTTTTTTGTCTTTTGGTGAAAACCATGTGAAACGGCATAAACTTGGCTAGCCGTAGTTTTTACCTTAATGAAGTGGTTTTAAATTTTTTATACTTGGTTTCTACATAAAATATATTATATAAGAGTTTCCAACACTTGGTTTTCATTTTGGAGAACTTTGGTTTTTGACACCGGTTTTCGGCGTAGGCTGCCAAACCATGGTTCTGGCGAACCATCCCAACATGCATGTCGGAAATCCTAACAGCGATGTAGGCATTTAGAAGTCCTTGGCAGTAGGTTTTTGAAAAGCGATGTTCATTGCTGAACAGCGATGTTTTCAAATGATCGTTGGGCTATTTAAGACAAAATCTTTCCATTTTTGAAAGTCAATCACCCCAACATCGATGTAGACTTTTAGACATCGATGTTTTGATGACCGTTAGCCATTTTAAAGGAAAGTCAAAGCCAAAACAGCGATGTTCACTTTATGAACATCGATGTTAGGCTAAAATTCTATAGACCAACTTTGATTTGATTTCCACAAATCATGCCATTAAACCCCAATCAACTCCCATCCGTTACACATCATTTTTGGGTATAAATAGGGATCTTTTGGGTCTACTTTTCACAACCATTCATCACACATTTCATAGTTTTACATTGCATCATTGCATAAACTTTTTACATAGCTTTTTAGAGCCATTTCTTGAGGAATTGAGTGTGTTCTTGATCTAAATTAGTTTACTCATATTCTACTCTTTAAGAGAGTTTTTGTTCTTGAGTGGTTAAGTGTTGTGAACACTTTAAGGGAAGTTTGTTCCCTTCGTTGTACGAAGGAAGGGCATATTCCTTCGGGTTGAAGTCTTGGAGTGTGGTATCTCCGAGCAACTGTATTGAGGCTCGTGGGACTCGAGTTCTCAGGTTGTAACGGTTTGTTAAGTACCCGTAAGCTTAACGGAAGTAGTATAGCTCGAGAGAGTCTCTCGGGAGGCTGGACTAGCCACACGTTGTGGTGAACCAGGGTAAAATCGGTGTGTTCTTTCTTTACGCTTTTCTATTCCGCTCTTTACTTTATCCCTGCAATTTTTATTCTGCAAAAATTTAGAAAATTCTCGTGTCTCATTATTCACCCCCCCTCTAGTGAAGGGCACATATTCTAACAGTAAAATCTTGGTGTGCCTTCTTGCGCTTTTAATTTGTCTTATTCCTGCAATTTTTGTTTTAAACACTATTCACCCTCCTCTAGCGCTGGGACTCTTTTCTAACAAAGAAAAGTTGTGATTCATGTTTTAAATTATTATAACTTTATAGGAATATAAATTATGGTATTAAATTTTAATGTGCTAATTGTTCGTATTATGTTAGGTTGGAAATTTTATTTGAGAAACTCAAACGATTCCAAGAAGTTCAATTGAAGGACTTCAACCTTAAGCTCCAATTTAAGAAGCTCAAAAAAGAAGTGTGATTGAAGAACTTTAACCCCAAGCTCCAATTCAAAAAGTTGAAACAAGAAGTTTTGTTCAAGAATTTTAACCCCAAGCTCCAATTCAAGAAGTTCAAACAAGAGGTTCCATTATTGAAGAAGTTCCACCCAAGCTCCAATTCAAGAAAATCTAATTGAATTTGACACATCAAATTTTGAAGTCGATCCTAGAAAACGAGTTCCAATCCATTCTATGACAAAAAATCAGGAAAAGAGGGAAAGTATTCGTAGAAGGTACTTACTCTTGGACCCAAAAAAACCAGAGCATACATGTTATCTTCAAACTTTCATTTATAATATCCCCTAAAGATTCATCCCAAAATGGTACGTGGAATTCCGTGGTTGGTTAGAGTATAGTAGTGGATTAAAAGATGCTTGTTATTGTCTATATTGTTACCTTTTCAACATAGAGTGTGGTATTTCTAGCTATGGACACGGAATTTGTTGAGACAAGATTTAGGTGTTGGAATAAGAAAAGCATGTTAAGAGTTCACATGAGGGACCATAAAAGTGTTCATAGCAATTGTTTCCAAGCTGGAAAATTTTGATGAACAGATCGATACACATTGACATTACTCTTCTGAAAATTTTGGATTAAAAAAAAAGATTATCGTATTCTGTTAAAGCCATCTTTGAGTTTTGTGAAATTTATTTTAATAAATAGTCTTCCTTTTCGCGGGCATGATGAATCAGAAAGTTCAAGTAGAAAGTTGTTGTTTCTTGAGACTGAACTTTTATGTCATGCCAAATGAAGAAATGTGGAATGTGGTTATAAATAATGCTCCTGACAATAATAAGATGACATCTCCATAAATGCAAAAATGCTAATGTTTGTGCTAATTTAAATTTACAGGGCATAGTTCAAGAAATTGGAGATGACTCTTATTATTTTCTTGTCAATGAAGCTCGTGATGTCTCAATTAAATAGAAAATGATTGTGGTTTTATGTTATGTGAACAAGAAAGGTCTAATCATTGAGCGTTTCGTTGGCATTTTTCATGTTGCAGAAACTACATCTCTATCTTTGAAATTAGTAATTGAAGGACTTCTTGCTAAACTATGACTTAGCCTATCTAAATGTTGTGGTCAAGGTTATGATGGAGCAAGCAACATGAGAGGTGAATTTAGTTAATGGTCTCAAAAGTTTGATTTTTCTTGAAAATAAGTCAACATATTACGTTCATTGCTTTGCTCATCAATATTACAGTTAATGCTTGTGAAGGTTGCTAAAAGGGATTGCAAAATTCAAGAATTCTTTGATATTCTTCAAAAAATGGCCAATATTGTTAATGGCTCACGTAAGAGAAGAGACATCTTTCATGAGAAACTACTTTGAGAAGACCGCATTACACACGTTGGGGGTCCCATTACAGTACAATCATGAGTGTAATTTCATTGTTCTCTCTTATATCTTATCCCATGATTTATTTGTTGGTAAATTTGGTATCGATCTTACCGGTCGCAACGGCTAGTGTGGAGCGCGTGTTTTCGGTAATGAACTTGGTCAAGGATAAATTGCGCAATCGAATAGGGGATGAGTAGTTTAATGCTTGTATGTTAACTTATATAGAGATTTATAGTTTTGACAATGATAAAGATGATGATATCATGCAATATTTACAAGCAATGAAGCCTAGAACTCTAGAAGAATGATATTGTAATGCTTGTTGAGGTATGACCAATTGAGGTATGACTTAATATTTATTAAATTTAAATTTGTTTGTAATATTTTGAGGCAAAGAAGCCTAGAAGAATGATATTGTAATACTTGTATTTAGTTGTGTTATATGACTTTGGTACTCTCTATGACTTCATATTAATTACATTTAGCTTTTTTTGTTATTCTTTATATTTTAAAATTTTTATGAACCCACTATACAAGTTTTCTGGGTCCGCCAGTGTATATACCTCCTCTTTCCCAATTTTTTTTCGCCTTTTGACTTACATGGAATTTAAGAGAAATAAATTTTCGCTTTGACTTTCTCAAATTATCCCAATGATGTGATGAATAAAAGCAAAATGTAATAGATGAACTAGTAGTGAAAAGACAAATATGGGTAAAAATGATTTATCAAAAGAAAGTGAAAAATATTTTTAAGACAAAAAATAAACGAAAGGTGAAAATCTTTTAGTGGGAGGGGATCGGAGTTATATAGCATATATTTGGTCTAGTTATTAGGGAGTATCAAGTTTCGCAAGAAAGTTAATTGCACATGTTCTGTGATTTCTTGGCTTCTAGGCAAGACCATATATCTATGCATAACATATTATGAAAATATTAGTCCGTAATATTAATGTGTTATATATTATTTTGAAATGATTACTTTTGGCGGTAAGACTCTAATTAAAGGTGTTCTTATTTTGGACTCACCGGCCGGCACCAACATCTCTATGAAAGTAAACGGTCCGAAATACCATTTTATACTTTGATAAAGATTAAATAGAATGTTATTGATTTATTTGATCCCAAAGTCAACAAAAAATTAGACGTTGCAATTGAATAGGGTGTGAGGTGCATTAAGGACGGGATGGGTTGGGAGTAGGAACAACCGATCCTCAATTGAATTGGTGTAACAATCATACACCAAATATTTGGTGTAAGATTACTACATTAGATTGATAAAAGTATAAACAGATATTACACTATAATAAAAAAAATTAATTATTATTACTAGAGCTATATGCATAAATAGTCTTTGCTGTCTTCCATAAGAAAGTAAATAGTCCTTGTATGATGTTGCAAAATAATCCCTATAGTCAAAGAAATAATACATAATTAGTCGTTATTTAAGAAAAATGTGAAGTACGTAAAAGACATGCGTACTCTGTAAAGATGTGAATCGTGTAACAAAAAAGAAATTAATTTAATGAAATTACTCTCATCTTCGTGATTAATGGCAAGAAATGGTCTTTGCCAGCTCTTGTATCACACGATATATTTTCTAGAATAATATTTGAAAAGTAGAATAATGTCAAGCTCACATAAAATATTGTTCTACTATTCAAAAAGATCACGGTTGAAAATATGAAGAAATCATTGTGAGGATTAAACCAAGCTGGAAGATATTTTATATTTCAAACTTAGCTTACCCATCACAAATTAAATTTCAGATTAGTTTTTTATTGCTACATACACACATCTTTGCATAACAAGCACATGTTATGCACATTTCACAAATTCTCTAGTAGAATGATTAATTATACAATGATTCTTTGATCACAATGACTATTTTGTAACTTTTAAAAGTTTCTAAACTATTTAACCACCAATAAAAGACCACATGAACTTTTGGTGCATACAACTCTTATTACTTTTTACTATTTTGATGGTATAAATAATATTATTACAATTGGGTTCTTTTGACAACGATAATTTTTTTCGTAATTAACCGCATCTATATTACTTTGTTCGAAAAAGTGATGTTTCTTACCTCCTAACCCTCCCTCCCCTTAATCCCACCCCACCGCAACACTCGCCTTCCCAAAACACCGATTGGCAAAAATGTTTTGGGCAAGGGATGTCAGGGTGGCAGGCAAGGGGTAAGGCGAGATGGGTTCATGGGAAAGGTCGTTAGGAGAGAAAATCATCTCAAAAAGAGCAGTGTAGTCCTTCTTGTCATATTATGACAATAAAAATTATTGCCAAAAGAACTGAACCAATATTATGAGAATAAAAGCTATTGTTAAAAGAACCGAACCTGGTATGTTGTGATAGATGTTTGTGGATGCGTCAAAGACTCGAACTCGTGATCGGGTTGGGTTTATCTTGGAGCACTTAAAAAACTACCTAAAACCCAATGTGACTTGTGAGTTGTGTAATACGAAGTAGTAAGGGAGAGTGCAGTTCCAATGACACCATTTGTTTTCTCAACCAACATAAAATATATGCACATGCTTTTGAAAGAAAAAAATTCTGTTCAATTTCCCATATAACCAAACCGATGAAGAGAAAACATAATTTTTCTTTAATTTATAACTCGAGTGCTGCTTACATGGTTCTAAGGTCTACATTTAAAATTTAGACTTTCTCACATTTTTCATAGATTTGTATGTAGATATTTTTTTTCTTTAAAAGACTCACTTTTTTGCTACAAATACACTTAAGCCCATAAAATGAGTAAGGACTTTAGATCCACGAAAAAAACTGCCTTATAACTCTCTTTCCAAACACTCAAATGAAATCCATTCGTCATCTTTTATGTTACCCCGTACTTCCTATTTGAAACTCATATAGAGATTTGTTTCACATAGTGAAACCCATTCAATTGAACATAGTTCAACAAACAACAAATAGTTCAACTCATTTCGTTGAACATAGTTCAACTCATTCGAAAAGGTACGAAGTTGCTCGACCAATTCACAAAATGCCAATATATGAATTTTTTTTCATTATTCTTTTTTTCCGGGTCTTTTCCTTGCATTCACTTACAAAAAGAAGCAACAACTACATTTTTTGTATTCTTCTTTCTTTCCTTGGTCTTTCATTCCGTCATATTCCTAATAACTTATCCAATTACAGCGCATCTACTTTATTCTATCTTACTCTTAATTATTCTGTAATAATCCACACAAAGCATAAATGAGTAAATGGTAGGAAGTTCAAATTTTAATCCATATGTAAAATTAGCATCTCATTCTTTTTCCCGACGTACAATTACAAATACTCTAGAGAAAGGGTACTAAGACCCCAATACCATATTACACAAAATTTAACCCCTAATAAAGCATTAAAATCTATACCTAGGAAGATGATACTAGTTTGTAAATACTGGTCAACAATTCAACATAGCTATAGAATGTTCTTCTGTACAGCTTTTTGTCAAGTCGGATGAAAGAATATGTGAAAGCTTGAACTACCAAACATATGCCGAGATTCTGTTGCCGTAATTGTAAGCCAAAATGTCAACTACGAAAAACCAACGAGCGAAAATCAAGTCCAACCTATATGAAACAACCCTTCTTGGGATCCAAGCCAAGCCCCCTGTGTCCTCTGTACACCGTAAATCCCTGCCAAAAATATTCAGGTGTAAGCTGACCAAGAGAGATTACTTGGGTGCTCTAGAAGAAGCACATAGCACCCATAGTATTCCAGCCACTTAGGGTCAGTCTTTTGGGAACTCGAAATGCTAGAACGGGGTAAAGAGGAAATTTGAAAGGANAACTCAGATTTGAGGGGGGGGGGGGGGGAATTGTTAAAATCCAGCAACTCAATTTTGGGTATTTGTTGAAACTCATTTTATTTACGTATATCTATAATCTATTATATAAAGAATGAAATCTAAATTTTATAAAATCTCTTACAGTGTCGGTCAAATTTGATTTTCCTTCCTATTTTACGAAGGAATACCAAACATTAAAAAAAACTTTTCCAGGGAATTTTTTCGCCTTAATAGTCTTTGGAATCCAAACACAGCCTTAGTGTTTGACACCTGTGTAATTTGTAGCGCACTTTGGTGTAATTGGAAATTGAGTTGTTTAAAAAAACAAAGCCTTTAGAATATAAATACCTCCCATTCTAGGCCAGCATAGTAGCGACGGGATTTCATTCATGATTTTTTCTTGAAACAACATTTCACCAGACTTGATACTCCATATTCGAAGGTGGCCGTCCTCTCCACCTAAATAATATTATCCTTATATAAGATGATTCATTAGTTTTCTTAAATACAATGACGAAAACCATCTTTACCAGACATGACAAGACTCTCTGATGGATCAACTCCTAGCTGTATGCGGGTATGAGAGTTTACATTGCCTTCGTAAGATTGCAAAGCTCCTCTCTGAGTTAGCCGATTATCATACAACTTCAACTGGAAAGGCAAGTCAGAACTGGATCAAATATGCAGAAATAGGACTACATTTTTCATGGGTAATCAGAAAATCAAATGTATTTAACCATAAGTGAATTTAGCTGCAAAGCCATTCCTTGTGTGTTTGCATGCCTAAGGATGATTCGCTTTCTTGCAACATTTATCTCATCTTCCACCAATCAGAAGGGTTTTTTTATTACACTTATTAGGTTATAATCTCCTTTCATTGTCCTTGATAAAAATAGAATCTAGCAATCTACATTAGGAAATGGGTTGGGATAGCTCAGGTGCATCAGCCAGTAGAGAAGAGGATTGATTATCCTTGTGCCACCAGTTCAAATCTAGTTCGTGACACACTATTATTTAATAAGTAGGGAGTATCTATTTTCCTAGGACTATATGGGCATTGACTTATGAGATTCAATGCTTGCAATAAACAAGTAAATGCTTGCTTTTGGCTAATGGATTTAACCTTTAATCTGCTTTATGCATTGTCAAACAGGAAAATCTCGATGTTGCATTTAATTAAGAATGGAGGAAGTATTTAAACAAATATTTAAAAAAATTAATATATTAAAAAAATATTCAATATTTCCATGTGCCGCAAAAAAGTTCCAAAGTTACCAAATTGCCACAACGCCTTCAATTTATTGTAGCTTTTTAGCCTTTTTTAGTCTTTAGATCTTGAATAAAATGCACCATATTAATTTTCATTCACTCTCCTACGATGTGTGCACACACATGAATACATATGAGATGCTATTACGTGAGGTGAATATGAAATCTTTTCTTACTTTAACATCTCAATATTTCAGTTGCGTTACTAATTTCATAGACATCTAAGAGGTAAAAGTGTAAAACAAAATTGCAATCGGAAACAAATAATAACACAATTTACAAACAACCAAACAACAAAAATATAGCTACAACAACTAGAAATAAAACAAGTGCAAAGTAATTGACTAAACCATAGTCACAGAATTCATTCCCTAGGCCGCGACTTCCGTATTGGTACGAGACGTACTCAATCAGTAGTCAAAATCGTGATCCGATCTGTACGCTTCCGCAGATCGACCTAGGGTCACTGATTCAAATCCTTCAATCGATCACCGAGCAAGATCGTACTATCGTCTGGGATCGGCGATTCCATGGGAAGGAAAGTCACATGTCGGAAAAACAATTGACGCGACCTTTCGGTTGACGCGACTCCTCCCAAACGATGCTTGTTTTCACTGCGCTTTGTATAAATAAGCCTCTGCGCTGATCATATTTATAAAAAGCGCACCTGAGGCGCGCATCATGCAAGGCGTAGGGCTCTGCGCATTCTTCCTCGTGATGCGGGCGATGTACGTTATGCGAGCGCATACCTGCGCATCAGCGCATTAAGCGATGCGATTGGATGCGATAAAATGCGCGCATCGCGAACATAGATTAAGTTTTTTATGGGTTGACTCAGCCCAAATCTTTGCTTCTCTGCTTCGTCACTATGTTTTTTCCTAGGGCTTTGTTTGTTTTGCCACTTCATCGCAAGGGCTTTTTCTCTCTGGATCAACTTTGCTTCTGCCGTGCATCGGTTTTCCTTTTGCTCTCTTCAGATTCTCTATTTGCTTGCTTCACGTTTTAGGTTCTTTTATTTTTTCATTTTTATAATCGTGAGGCTTCCGGCCTTCTGCCTTTTTTGCTTGTCTCTTTAGTTTTGTTTCTTCTTATTCATACTCAGCTCTCTTCATAAAGTTTTTTTTAAAAAACCCTACTACTCCTTATCCCTTATTGACTTGGACTAATTGGAGTCACAGTCTAGATCTGAATCCCTCATTATTTATTTATGGGGCATTTAACTATTTTTTACTTTTAATTTTAATTGTTTTTAATTTTTTTTAAGAGTTTGACGTTTGAGAAAAAAACTAATGTGATAAAATTTGAGAATTCAGTTAATATAGTACGAGCTGTTTTTTAAATTTAAGTTTTTTTTATTTATCTTGCAATTTTACTTCGAAATTAAATTTAATATTTTTTTGGGGTTTGAGAATAAAAATTGATGTAGTATTTGAGATTTGAGAATTAGGTTAGTAACTTAGTCACTCCTTTCATTATATGTTCGGAGTGACCATTTCCTAATTTGTAATAAAATCCATGAAGTCTAAACTTTGATTCTAGGCTGCTTTTTAAAATTTTCTTATGCTTTTCAACATTTTATATGTACTATTACTATTTTATAGATGCAATGCTACTTGTGCCTCAACGCGCGCATTGTGTTTGTGATGCGCGCGCATCAAAAGCGCATCGCGCATCGAGGCACTAGAGCCCCTTTGTGCATCGGTGCGCATCGTGCCTTAAATAACTATGGCGCTGATTTACTCCGAGTCTCCTAGTAGCTTTTAAGTTTCAACTTAGCGTGTGGAGTCACACCATGTATTCTGTCTTATTCTGCCCAGCTCTTAAGTTTTTTTTCTGTAATTTTATTTCTTGAGTCCTTTTTATCTACTGACCTTTTTTTATCATTATCTATTGATGTCAAAAAATCTTGTGTACTTATGTTTTGACTTTAGGTACACCGAACCGAATACATGGTACACCGTACCGCTTCGTACCAAAATGAACCTACCCCCTTCGTATCGAATCCGTCACATCTAGCAAATTTCGTACCCGTACCGCGTCCCCGTACCGAAATGTACCGCGATTTAGGTGACCATGGACTAAACCAACACAAAACCTTTCTCACATACAACAATAACCCAGTTAGATCCCACGAAGTAGGATCTGGGGAGGGTGTGTGTATGAAGACCTTGCCCCTACCCGAAAGTAGAGAGGTTGTTTCTATGAGACCCCACGCTCAAGCTGCACATAAAAAAGGATCACACACTAGATACATACAACAAGGAAAGCACAAATACAATGCAAATAAAGCACCAACCACACAACATTAAAATTAAATTAAATAAAGTTACAAAATGAGAGTATTGCAAGCAAATACTCCCTCCGTCCTGAAATAAATTACAATCTTTTTTTCTCTCTCCTCTCGATAACTTTTGTTTATTTGTGTATTTTCATTGAGTATTTGATAAAATAAAATATTCTTGTCACCTTTCATTTTGTAGAACTTTTGACGTAGTTTTTTTATATGTATTTTTTAATTCTTATTGAAGTACCAATTTGTAAATAAAATGATTGTTAAAAAATGAGATTTTTGCCTCGTAACTCCAAATTTGTAATCAATTGGGGACGGAGGGAGTAGCAAATAGCACCAAGCATAAAAGGCCTACAAGGCACACAACAACAACACCCTCTAGCTCCAAGCATCTACCCAACCACTCTAATCCTATCTCTCCAAACGCTCCTATCTAACGTCATATCCTCAGTAAGGGAAAGAAGTCCTAAGTCATGTCTAATCGCCTCCTTCCAACTCTTCCTAGGTCTACCTCTTCCCTTACTTCCCCCTACCAACGTAAGCATCTCACATCTCCGCACTGGATCATCAACATTCTGCCGTCTCACATGACTGAACCACCTCAACCTAGCTTCCTGAAGCTTATCTTCCATTCATGACATGCCTAACCGACTTCAAATAACCTCATTCCGAGTTCTATCCAGCCTTGTCTGCCTACACATCCACAACAGCATCCGCATTTCCGCCGCATGCAGACGACAACCGGTAGAACTTACCTTTCATCCTGGGTGAAATCTTCTAATCGCAACACACTCTTGAAGCCAACCTCTATTTAGCCCAAGTTGCTCCAACACGGTGTACAACATCCCCGTTTAACTCCCCATTTGCCTAAATGACCGACCCAAGATACTGAAACTTGTCATCTTTAGACACTAGGTGAGAGTCAATCCTCACTTCCACCCCTGAATACGTCATTCGGCCAATGAAACGACATTCCATGTATTCAGTCTTGGTTCAACGAGTCTGAATCCTTTGGTCTCCAAGGAAAGGCGCCAAAGTTCTAACTTATCATTTAGTGCCTTGCGTGTGTCGTCGATAAGCACAATATCATCCACAAAAAGTATGCACCACGGGACTTCTTCTTGGACTCCCCGTGTCAGGACGTCCATCACCAAGGCAAACAAGAAAGGGCTAAGGGACAACCCTTGGTGCAACCCCACCCCTACAGAAAAAGGTTTAGAGCCGCCCCCACCTCCCAACGGTCTTTACCCCTAGTCCTTGATCGCACGGGTTTAAGCAATCAGAACTCCTCTATACTCAAGACACCTGATCTCCCGTGGAACCATTCTCATATACACAATGAATTACTCCGTAAGCATCCAAAAAATGTTCGATTATATTTGATAACTACTTTTCAGCTTTCAAATCATTTTATGTAAAATACTAAAATAGTATAAACCTTTTCATTAAATTTAACTATGTAAGATGTTTTTCTATTGTTCTGCATATTTTTACAATGGACCTATTAGTGGTAAAGTAATTCTTGATTTTTAATTTCCTTCTTCCTTTATATTAAGATTGATAAAAAACAATAGATGCAAAGATTCATAAGAAAGCATCTGAAGTGCCAATAAACATACTCAAAAGACTAGTACTTTCAAGTTTAGAGATAGGTTTGAACACTAACCGATCCATCCATGGAGCTTGCTAAGAAATACTGGTCATGCAACAGCAGGGAAGTAATGCTGAAACTCAAAGCTAAAAAAATGAATATCGATCTTTTTTTTTTGAAATTATCAGCATCAAATCGATTGTATACAACAACAACAACATAACAGGTTGTGTACAAATACGAAATATTTCCTGAGCATTCTTTAAACAAAAGCGTACAATATATGATATAATTTAGGAAACAAAATAAAACCTAATCCTCAACTAAGGTAATAGGGAATAAAACTTATCTACATTTGTTGGGTACAACTTATTAACTTTCTTCACCTCACAATAAAACTGAAAAGTGTTCAAGAAAAGTGTTGAAAAGTAGTGTACTCTCCTTAATAAGAAAGTAATAAAGTGTATACTTTGATTTGGGACTGGGACGGAGGAGTACATAACATAACATAAGTATGGGTTTTTCTTTCTATCAGCCTAACTAATGGAATTTCACTAACCAAGAAATAGATGATGGCATAGATATTGTATCAAAACTGCACAAGTTCCCTTTGAGCTGCATATACATCACTTTCATTAGTTTTTTTTACAATAATGTATACAGCCACAGAATACATGCTTTCAAAAGTACGAGAGTGATATGTCATTTGACGGCTTCTATAAAATTGTTACAACTCAGGGGATATGTTTCTCAACATGCAGACACTACTCCAGCCTCATTGCACTGAATACAATAATAACTAAATATGCATATAACAGACGATAAAAAAGGAGATAGGTGGGGGAGGGTTCTTTACAAATATGGAGTAGTTTATAGGGGAATCGCAGGCTTTGAAGGGGCTACTTATTTCTTTAATAGTAGCCCTTTGGACAGTTTGTTTTCAATGAATTGAATGATTTAAAAACCTTGTACAATCCAAACTCCACTGGGGTCTAGGGGTCAATGAAGGGGAAGATATAAGTGCAATTATAATTTTCATTCTATTTTAAGTCTAGTAGCCAAGTATTGTATCATTTAAGAGATTAAAATATCCTTGTAACACACGCATATATCTAAGCATATTCTGCTGCCAAAAAAAAGCAAACGAATGGTGACAGAATAAGTTCACCAAGAAGAATGAAGATAAATCCATAGCTGGAGCTGCAACACATAGGAAAAGATAGATACCAATAACCGTTCGAGGTGGAATTTCTTAGCTCGTCCACTTGAAGTCTCACGAGGATGGAAAGGAAGCTCATTCCTAGGTAGTCTATTAGAAATATTTCTGGGTTTTTGGCGAGCATCAACTGAAAAAATTGTTCCATTCCTCAATCCACACAAAGCGATGTTACCCTGTATTAAGTAACTGTTACCTTTCCAGTAAAAAGAATCACTCAAAAACAACTACAGAAATTCACAGAAACCATTTACTCCCTCCCTCACTAAAAGAATTTCCTTCTTTGATCAACGTGCAAAACCCTGTGACATTTATAATGATTTTATCTACAAATTGGTAAAGAAATAAAAAATAAAAATTTGTTTCTAAAAATTACATCAAAAACTCTACAAAACAAGAGGTGAAAAAATATTTTATTTTATCAAATGATCAATGAAAACATGCAAACAAATAAGAGTTATCGAGAGACCATAATAGTAAGCAGGAAGATCTTTAAGGGACGGAGGGAGTACTTCACACTTTGATTGACTTCATGGAGTTTAAGAAAGGTGTTGAAAAATGAAATGTGTGATTGGTTGGAGCCTTAGAAGAGAGCAAGAGAGAGAGAGAGAGAGATTTGAGGCACATAATGCATCCCTGAATAATAAATGGATGAAGTGTAAACTGTAAAGCTTATTTTGAAACAACCAAATAAGAAAAAAAGTGTGAAGCGTATTCGAAGCAGATTTAGTATACGACTCTTTCATAAGGCTGGTGGATATAGATGGTTGAGCTCTTGAATCCTATTGTATATTATTACACGCATTTGAAAGGTACACTCATACTGATGGTTAACGTGCCACATAAAAAACAGAAAAACAGTTTTGAAACCAGATATTTTTTTTATGAAAATCAAATAATTCCATAACATGGTTTGTAAAAATATTAACATGCTAGTGCACTTCATGATCATCCGGTTCTTGTATTTGTCATATATGCTTTTGGCACATTTCAGCATATCCAAGACATGGTCCGTAATTTTTGATACTTATTTCGGCATATCCAACACATCATCAACATGTCCTAATATAACAATTTTAGTTTGATGTGAGTAAGACAATGGGCTCACGAATATAAAAGTATTAAAATGTTGCACAAGTGGCACAAGGAAACATAATGATGTTTTTCTAGAAAATTTCTTAAGCATGAAAACGGCATAGGCAAAACGAAATATGACCAATTTTAATAATTACCGATTGATCTAATTGTAAAGAGAGAACATCACTTTTACAACGACAAATCCATGACGTAGTTCCAGTATCTATATTCACGACAGCAGCTCCTGCATTGGTGCCTAAACAGGGAAGGCAAAGAAAATAATAAATTTTGCAGATCTACACACATAGTTGAATATAGCACAAGCTAATAAAGTCCATTGGTGTATAGAACAAATTAGCTACCCATGAAACAAAAAAAAAATTAATTTTTTGCACGCTAGGAGGTCAGTGATGTGATGATATTCATGCAAGCATTTTAACAAAGGATCCCTACTTTGGCAATTGGTTTCATGCAAAATTCTACTATAGAATTCTAAATTACAGAAGCCTGTAAAAATGCAAGCTACAATATGTCTGAGAACTTTTGCAAAGTTCAATCAAGAGGAATGAGAAAACTTGCCTATAACCGCTCGACTCCCATCAAATGTGCAGTCAGCTGTCCAAACTGTATTTTTGAAAGAGGTAACCTCAGAAATTTCCCTCCACACCACATTTGAATTTATATTAAATGGTTCGCTGAGGTTCAGAATATGGACTGATCCACCAGAAATTTCAGACCCCAAAGTTGTAATACTGCATCCTTTTATTAAGTTCAACAAATACATAAGCAGATTCCTTCCCTGGCAACCATGACATTTCTCTTTAGGGAGAAGGGGCAGGGTATGGGCAAAGATGCATCACATGCTGTGAATAAATGAACAAAAATTAAAAGGTTACTGTTATGTTAACTAATATAGATCCAATTATCCAAAGCCCTAGCCCTAGTCACCGATCCTTTAATTATTTAGTACTCTGTATTATATATAGGGCAGTGCCAAATAGGCCATTGGGGGGGCAAAGGGTTTTGGGGGGTAGAAACATCAATTTTAACAACGGAGCACCATAGGTGCCCTGCCCTGGGTCATATTATGACATTGATGTTCAATGTCAAAAAATTCAAAGTGTTTCTTATCATCCTTATAATTATCATTTGTTTTTATGTTTCCTAGTATGGTTATGGTAGAACTCTTCTTGTAAGGCTTTGCCTATTTATATTCAGGATATTCATTAATAAAATTATTGTTGAAGCAAAACCCAAAGTTTCAAAAGCTATTCCCAGACAACTCTCTTTTCATCCACGGGCAAGGGAAGAAAGCATGTCCCGTGTTTTCATCCTCTTTGTTTGTAACACGGCCCTAGATGAGTGCTACCAGCACAGCTCTTAATGGCCAAACCATAATAGGTGTGGTTGTCATTGGAGTTAATGGTTACAGGAGTTGGCCCAAGGGTCTAGCACAGTCCTTGAACGGGAGAATGGCAACAAGGATAAGGCGGAGAGGGAGAGGAGAGATGGAAAAACACAAGAGAATATGGTCAAACGGCATTTTAACAATTAATAAGGCCTAAAGGAAATGTTGTTAGCCCAATGGCACGATACAGATGCGCTCAACTATACTACAACTTTGGATACAAGGCTTGGTTGGGCCAGAGAAATGGCGCTCTAAGACTCAAAATCCTATCCCATTTTGCAGGAGTGAATCAGGTATTTATAGCCTTCGGGGCTCTAATGATCTTGCGAGATGTCGTGGTCTCGTTGTGTAGTGTTTGTCTTTCTATACGTGTTGCTAGAGGTCATGGGAGCACGGAAGAGCCAAGTGTTGCCTTACCATACGTCGTGGTATAGATTGTACTTTCTTTGTGTGCTAGACTGCTAGTGTGTAGCAACCTATACCGTGTTGACACATACCTCGTCAGCAAGTTTCTCTACTGGAAGCCAACCTAGACTTCATCTTCAAACCTCATACTGGCAGCCCATCTGGCCTGCTATGGTCCGACCCAAACCTCAAACAATGTGTCCTGCCAATGATGGGCTAGGCTCCCAGGCTCAGTGCTCCTGTACAAGGTTGGGCCTCCTCTCTAGACTGGATAGTCTAGGCCAATATCCAAAAGCAAGTCCCTCAACTTTTGAAGTCCTAGACAGTAGAAAGTGGAAGTGGGAAGTTTTGGGTCAAGGCTCCCTCTTCTCATTCTTGAAAAACGTTGTTTAAGTGTGTCGGACTGTCCAATCTAATTCTTACCTCGAGACATCCAACTTATCCAATCTAAATTGTTGTTTAACTGATTGGCTAATTGATAATGAACTCACACTAAAACTAAAGCTTGAAAAAGCACCTCAATGAGCACAAGCCGCTTGAGCTATACTTTCAGAGACACAACTAAATTAAATGGCTTATGGGGCGATTTGATGAACTTATACAAGCACAACCGAGCTTACGACTCAGGCCGCTGAAGATGGGCTTCTCCACATATGGATATACCGACATACAGAAACAAAATGGCTCATACAATGCCATGATAAAATTGATGATTTTGTCGGGTTACTAAAATAAGCCATTATGCATACGGACAAAATCAACTAGAAGATTGAATCTGATTGAATTGCTAGTTCAAACAAAGATACTTTTAACCTATCATTCTCTCGTTACTATTCCGTTGTATGACTCTAACAGTTATAAATGTAATAAACATCTTACAAATCAAGCACTGAAATATTATTAAATATATTCTATGACTCTCTACAAAAATGAAGTAATAATTTCAAAAGTAAAAAAATAAAAGCATTTTGGATGACTTTACCAATTAAAGACATACCACTACAAACAAAAAAACAAAGCAACAGTACAAGGTATTTTAAAAGGATACAGAACATGATTTGTTGAAGTGTTTTCAACCGGATGATTATCCCTCTGGCACATCTTTATGCAAGAAATAGTAGATGGAATGTGTTGACTAGGTCTTAGACGTTTCCATGCAAGCCCGGGTAATTCAACACGCTCTGTAGACTCTCCAGCATTGGATGTCCATACACGATGTGGCAATTTTACACCATAATCTAATTCTTCTCCATCTTTTCCTACATGAAAAAGACTGCAAAATACCAAGCTTCAAAAACAATAAATCCAAAAGAAAATATCTAGCTTCCTACAATCCTACACCAGCTCAAGTTTCAAAGATTAAACGAAAAGATAAACAGAATGAGGACTAGAGTGATTCTGCATGCAGCTGGAGGGAAAACCATCCTTGTAAAATATAAAACCCAACAGTTGAAGCAAACATTAATAACTTAAAGGAATATAAAATCAAAAAAGAAAGCACATATGCACATCTTCAAACATATAAGCTTAAGGTGAAAAGATGAAACATGAAACAGAAAAGGAAAAGATTGTCAGATTGTGTACATGATTGGTGCTCAAAAACATGGGAACCATGTGGCTTCAACCACACAAGCTCTTATTCAAAAAACTCATGTGCATCTAGTAAAATTGATGATGAGCATCGTCCAGATAACAGTCATGGAAGCGGACAGCTTGGTTTCACAGGGATAGAAAAGAATAACAGAGCATGCACACTTCAAATGCCAAAAATGAGTGTGCTTTTTTCCTCACATGTCATCAAAATTAGTATACAGATATTTCAAAATTCTTTTCAAGCACAAATAAATTAAGCTGCTTCGAAGAAAAAAAAGAAATAGATCAATGAGAATGGTTATCCGCTGCTTAGATGCATAAGGTAGCATCAAATTATGTAAAAAATGGAACAGACTGAAAGTGGATGCTTAGTTGCAATCATTTATTGTACCCATGGGAAGTGAGGACTGGACAGGTTTAGGTGAAAAGGAAATGAACGAAAAAAATGACTTTTTGCATAGCAAATGGTAACATAGAAAGATGAAAAATAGATATAGCATTCATTATTTCTTGAGGTACTCTTCAAAGTCCAACTATTGAAGAATGTTAGTCATTTTCAATTTTTCATTGCACATTATCAAGTGGAAAAAATTTGAGAAATTACTTCCATCCATAACAGACAAGAACATTATTATTCGCTAGCAGTTTTATGTTTGAACTATCCCATTGACATACCAAAATAGGCCATTCTGACTGCATGCCAGCAGCATATCTGTCTCAACAATGCCCTGTAGCCTCTCTACACCAACAGTCATCTGCTCCAATGCATTATCTACCATTCTTTCTGTGTCATCAAATTTCCAAATCTGAATGAAATGCACACAATAGGCTGAGAAATGTGTCAGAGTATATTTTTAAATATGTTGATAAGTTCTGAAATAAAGATTAATAGGATTATATTAGAGTAACAAAAAAATGCTTATGAACATCCAACAACTAGTTCAGAACATAACCCGTTCAGATTTAGTAACAGGTTTCCACTACAACCTTACCTGTAAGATATTCAAAAAATGCAGAAATTTAAAGAGGAAATTTTTGGCATAAACTTAATAGATAAATATGTAAAGAGCAGTGGAGGTTTTCTTCCCCTCTTTACGCAAATAGAAAAAGTTATATTTTGGGGATACACACACACACTTGACAGGGTAGGTGACCGGAACTTGTGATATAATTGTCTTACTGAACTAACTCCTAAGAGGTTGCTTTGTTCAACTTAAGATTATCACTGTTTAGGGGAGAGCTTGGAATTGAATGATATGGACCAAATCCCCGACACGGACTCTCTAGATAACCAAGGGAATTGCATATGTTAATGACACAGTTGAATTTAGAAGAGAAGTAGCAGATTAAAATGCCTCACAGCCCAATGCCTCAACGTATATGTATATATAACAAGTGAATACACAAGAAGCGGAAACTTTTTCCTAAAATAAGAAAAGAATGTCTTACCAGCAAGGAATAACAAGGAACTTTACAAAAGCATATTGTAAGTTGTAAACTTTTAGAGCTAATATTCCCTAAAAACATATATTCATAAATTTCAAAAATATATACTCCCTCCGTCCCACAAAACCCTTCCCCTTTCCTTTTTCATCCGTCCCAAAAAACTCTTCTCTTTTTCTATTAAAAAGTCACTTTTACCCCTATTAATTCTTAACCTACCAATCACATCACACTTTTTCTCTATTAATCTACCCATCACATCCTACTTTATCCATCACATCAAAGGGCATTTTTGGAAAGTCAATACCAAAATACACTCCCCTTAAATCCTTTAAAAGTCAAAATGGGAAGTTTTTTGCAGGACGGAGGGAGTAATATACAAGTGGTCCAACTTTCTTCAGACAGTTGCGGGTGGCTAATGCGAATTCAACATAAGAGGGAAGAATTGGAAGAAGCTGATTAAAAAAGACTTAGAACTTCTTGCCCTTGGAGTGTTTGGAGAGCTAGGATTAGAGTAGTTGGTAAGCGCTTTGGGCTAGGAGGTAGTTTTATATACTTGTTGTGTGCTTTGTATGCTTGATGCTCTCTGCTTACAGTTTTTTTCCTTCTTTATCCTTAATTTGTTCTTTGCCTCTGTGTGTTTTGTGATTTATCTGTGCTTTCTCTGCTTTATGTACCTCTGTGTGTTTATGTACCTCCTGTGATCTTTTTTATCTTTGCAGCTTGAGTCGGGGGTCTCTTGGAAAAAACCTCTCTAGTTTTAGGGGATCTGCATATACACACCCTTCCCCAGACCCTACTCTTGTGGGACCCAACTGGGCTATTGTTGTTAGCGGTTTTCTGGTTGATGATAGTAAGGCTCTTTTAGTGGGTTTTTGTTTTGCTTCTCTCTTTTGTTCCTCGGGCTTCGAATGTTGTTGCTCATTCTCTTGCTAGGTGTGTAGAGTCTGAGTGTAATGTTTGGGTGTCTAACCCCCTGGACTTTATTATTCCTCTTTTGATGCATCAATGGAATTATTTTACCCTAAAAAATTATGATAAACACACTGCAGGTCAGCACCAAGATTGTAACGTATCTAGTTGATCCAAGTGCTTTGCAATAGTCTGGTGAAAATTCACAAATGGCGAGTTGGCTTCATAAAAAAGAATTTTGTGTGAGATGAAACGACATTAAATCTCTCTATGCATAGTTTGCTCATGAAAAAACGTGATTTGACACAATGTCTACTGTGTAGAGCCTCGACTACGTAGCAACCCTCACCCACTGCTCATTCCCTCCGCCGCCCCCAACCTCTCAATCTGTTTGTCATCCCTGATGTTCTCCAGCGTCCAGATCTAGACCAGCCCTCTGCCACCACACTTCGGATCGGCCCGCAGCCACACAACCCATCCCAACCTCCAGCAGCTCTGGCCTCTCCGCCGCCACCCAAATCACCTGTCCCCATCCCGATGGCCTTCTCTAACCATGTACCATAAAGCCCATCATCCGGCCCAGCCCGCAGCCGCACAACCCATCTCGAATGCCAAGCAAACTTCCCTCAGTCTCTGGCAATGTCACTGCCAGACCTCCCAAAAAACTTGCCAGTTTCGTTATCAAAATATTGATCAGAAAAGATCTGAGAAGGCGGAGATAGATGATGGAAGAGATCGGAGAATATTTGCAAACTAGAAAGAGATTGGAGAAGACTTAGGCGAGATATGCGGATGCGGGTAAATGATTTTGCGACTTGGAAAGAAAGTCCAAGCGGTGCATACTAGTGTTAGTGGATATGGGTACAGTGGGAGAATGTTAAATGATAAGGGCAAAAATGAAATTTCATTTAATTTGTTTTTCTTAAATAGGAAAGTGGACAAATGCTGTGGGACGACCCAACAGAATATTGGACGAATACTGTGGAACGGAGGGAGTACTTTAATGAGATATTCACATGTAGTGAGGGTCAAGGCCATACACTCTGCTTCAGCACTTGATCTTGCAACTATGGGCCATGAATCATTCAATTGAGGAACCATTGAGCCAACATTTTCTCCCCCGAGAACCTTTACAAGGCTTCATCAGCTGTAAAAGTTGCTTGATGAAGAACTCAGCAAGAATGGAAAAATTAGCATGGTATCTATGACTCTCTTATCTAAAGGTAGACAAATGCCCTGAGGTAACATCAAGCCCCTTCCAGATTTTCTAGAACAGCGGGAGGCACACTCGACACCACAATGTACGGTACTCTTCTAATAAGTGGTACATGTCATTCTTTTCAACTACACTAATTGCATGCTTGATTGTATTATTACCATCAGAGACAAATGGTATGAAGTTTGCAAATAAGTCTACTCAATATCAAGCATCCCAAAATCAAGAAAAATATAGTGCAAGTCTTAAACTCATATAGTATCTATACAACAACAACAACAACCCAGTAGAATCCCACGAGAGTAGGGAAAATCATATAGTATTTGTATCTATAAAAATAACAATTGGCTCTGAACCATTTCTACAGTGCATGCAAGTGGAAGCTTCAAGAAGATATGAATAGACAGAAATGCAAGATATATGATAGACTCAAATGCAAACATGAAATTTTGCAACAATTATCAGAGATGAATGGACTGAACCATAGGTTGTGAAGCTCGCCTCTTCTGGTATTCCATTTGAAAACTGAATTTCCCTTTCCTGGAAGTAATCACCTGGCCATACAATTCCCTAGCCTGGAGCAGATTATTGCTTGTGGTTTTCAAGCATTTACACTTCTCTTTTGCCTGTTCCGTAACAATGGAAAACGTATATTATTAAAATTATGCAGCTTAGTGCGGAAGAGACCATTTGAAGATAAACTGGTAGAGAACATATTAATACAATGATAAGATCTCAGACAGGAATACAGTTTCGAACAATATTATTTGTGCATTCAGCACATCAATTTGAGTTTGGCATTAAGACCTAGTCATTTTTCTAATTAATTCAATAAGTATCCCAAAAATTAAACTTGCCCCCACTAAAAAAATTAAATGCCCCCAATCCCCAATCATTTTTTTCGCTTTGCAGATTTTTAATCAAAACTATAGAATTATTGTTACCTAATAGATAGCTTTTGAATTAAATATTACTACGTAATAACTAGATATAGTCATATACATACTCCCTCCGTCCATAAATTATCTTCTCACTTTCCTTTTTCATCCGTCCACAAATTATCTTTCCTTTTCTAAACACACAAAAATGAGATGGAAAGGCTAGCCCCAACATTTCAAATCAGAGAGACATTGCCTAAACAATATACTGCTCTTTAATGGGTAAATCACAATTCACACCCCCAAAAGGTAGTAAATGATTGAATGGCACCTTCACTTGGTATAAATGTTTTTATGCACCCCCAAATATTTAAATCTTACTAGCATACACCCTTTGCAGTCACCAGCATCACTGCATCAGGAGCTCCCGATTTCCGCATCTCCCTAAATGACCCCAACTCTGATCACCCATCCCCAGTCTACAAGACTAAATAGCCCCTCTGTGTCGATTATTTTATCTCTCTAAACTACCCCTACATTGCCGGAGACTGCATTTCTTTCCGTTCATGAAGTGGGGGTTAGGGTGGGAAGTGAAGATATAGTAATTTCTGGAAATGGACTAAAAGTTTTGCAACAAGTGGGGGTGCATTTTAATATTTTGTTACTCGCATTTACTAAGGGTGCAAAATGTGATTTACTCGCTCTTTTTATCCTAATAATCAGATGCCAAAACTTTCTATCTAAAGTCATGTCCTCCATCTGCTTGAATGTAGCCATGTCGTGCCTAATAAGTAATAACCTCCCCCTACCCTACCCCCGTTCTTCTCTGACCGGGCTCTACATTTGCTAACTTCTGCAATTGTTAAAATCTAACACCTATTAAAATATATCAAGATATTTTTGGTTTTTATGTACTACAGAGGTCATTAGACATTCATTTTATGAAAAAGGACTGTCTTAACCTTGAATGTTCATTTAAGCATGATGACAGATCTTATACTGATGGCGTAGATTTAATTTTAGAAATGAAAATATTGAAAGGAATTCATGAAAGTAGGAAACGATACAAGAGTTAATTGTGTGAGAACTGAGAAGACATGATACTTCTCCAAATGCTTATGCTGCTATACACTAATGCTAAAAGTAAACAGTCGCTGTGAGGCGTGGTTGTTGCTTCCACTAAAAGAAGTTTTTTAAACTGAATTTTATAAAATCTCATCATAGATCAACAATCTCTGAACAAAGTTTGATAGGTTTGGCTTTCTTATAGATTGCAAAACAAATGTTAAAGGGAATCAATTACACTAATTTAATACTCCATGTGTCTCAAAAACAATTACTTTTCATCTGTGCCAAAATGAACTTAGAAAATGTACATAGAAATAATTACTACGTAATACATCATAGGGTAGCTTTGGGTAATACCTTGGCAGTAGAGGCAGGTGGAGGAGATTTCCGTTTCCGGAAAGAGCCAGGGATTGGTCCCTTGACAGGAAAATACCTGTTCTTCTCCGAATCATAGTAGAATCCTGGAAGCTCTGTTCATACAAAAGGTCAATTACATTACAGCACCAAAACAGGAATGCTCTATCGAGTTAAGTTAACCAAAAGGAAGAGAGAAGAACCTTTGGGCATTCTTATATCGAAACGTATATGCAATTATATGCTCCCTAATTGAAGGCTGCTCGGTATTAGTATTTCGTACTCGTAACGACCTACTGAGGATTAGCCTATTCTGATCAGGGAGTGCCCTAGCGGCCGCCGAATTTCGTGATAGCTTCTGTCCCTTTTATATAGTTTAATACTCCCTATAAAATATAATGTTATATATATATTTAAATTTATAATATATGATCTCAGACACATTCAATAATGAATTCTTTTTTATTTAAAATTAGAGTTTTCTTATATACTCTATATTTATTTGAATGATCATTTAATTAAGTAATTTTTTAACATTTAAATTCTTCCAATATTTTCTAAATCTTTCCAATTTTTCCAACTATTTCTATTTTCTTCCAACATCTAACTCTACCAACCCAAAAGAACATGATCTTTAGTTAGTCTCCTCCCCTCTCCTTCGATTGGAACTCAAGAGTTCATATTGCAAGAAAAATTAGCAAGAATTGTAGGGGTGAGCGTGATAAGATATGATACGATATTTGGTGTGTATCAATATCGTATAAAATATTTCAATTTGGTATGGAATTTTACATCGTACCAATCTCGATCCTGAAGTATCGATTCGGTATGGTACGAGATGGTTCGGTTTCGTTTTTGGTAAATATTTGGATGAATACACTCGAGGTATAAGAGTATCTACCAAGATAATTTAATGCAAAACAGTAATATTTTGTACAAAGAACCTGTTGTTTAGAGCTTAAACTCATAGTTTCCGATTTCTTCCAGTTTCTTTCAGTTTCTTCTAGTTTTTTCCAAGTATTCTCATTTTCTTCAAAATATTTCTACTGCCTAAACAATTACTATAAAATGATGTATTTTTAATGTGATTATTATGATTATTATATTTATTATTATTACAAATATTATGTTTATAACTATAATTTATAAATTATTTCATTTTAAATTTTTTCCATGTCACTACTTTTATGGTTTACACTAATTATTACTGTATTTTTTCTTTAATATTTTAATATAAATAATGCAATATTTGTGTATTAATCTACATGATAAAATTAAAAAATATCAATATTTTAAGCTATATTTCAAAAATTATGGATAAAATAGTAGTTACAGAGTTTGTTTTATTAATCTTAATTGATATAAGAAAAACTTCAATATTTTATACTAATACGGAGTATATATTAATTGAACACAGGAAGTACTACATTATGAAATCTGAGGGAGTGCTACACTATTAAAAAGAAAAAATGTTCCCAAAAAATGTAAAAAAAAAACAAATTCAGGTAAAAAAGAATATAGCTAATAATTAAAATAAAAATAACCAAAAAACTAATACTTTTATTTATTTGATCTAGTTTTTATTTTCTGTGATATGTAAAATATTACACAAATCAACATAATCAATCCAATCATTTTTGTCGTAATCATATTGTAAAAGCTATATTTCATATTTTCAACTTAATTAAACTTATTTTATAACATATAGCATATAATATTATATGCTATTTTACCTCTAAACTACTTTATTGCATCTTTAGTTTATTCATCAAACCACATCACCTTGGGCATATTTTGTGTTGTTGGCTGCCTCGGTGAAACTGACATTCCTTTTAAATGAAGAAGAATGAAAATTGTGCAAAGTATGTTGCAATAACAATTTGAATTTGGTGCTCGGGTTTCATTTCAGGCATCTTATGGTGTAATATTTCCCATGTGTTCTTCAAACCTCCAAATGTTCGCTCAATAGTTGTTCTCAAAGAACGTGAATATGAATATAATTATAATAATAAATTATAACAACCACAATGAGAAAATTATAAAATATACACTTCAATGAATTTTTATTTTTTTTAGATTTTTCCTATTTCTGTAGTTTTTTCCAGTTTTTTTCAGAATTATCTAGTTTCTTCCAACATCCAATTCCTTTTTTCTATCCCTAAAGAACATGCTCTAAATGTCTACATGTAAGGAGAGCTTATACCAAAAGAGAAATCTCACTTTGTTATATAAAAATAAAACTTATAATATCAAAAACGTTTAGTATATAATGTCATAAGCACTATATATGAATTGCCAAATAACATTGTCAAGTTGTGATATTACACTATAACGATATTTTTATTTAGGGGATTAAAATATAAGAAATTACTTCAAATAGGAGTAAAACATAACATTTATCTTTACAATAAGAATTCAATACTTTAACCAAAAAAATGGAGTTTGCACGGTGACATTGTGACACTCTTTAGTGACATCCTACTGTATTTTGTGGTACAATATATTGCCATGATTGGCCATGTACTTTTTTTAGAGATAAAAACATCGAGATCAAATTTTATTGGGTTCTTCATATTTTACTCTTAGTTTAGTCATTTTTTAAAATATAAGAGTTTCTATTTTATGTCGGAAAGTGGTCGTACGGATTACAACGGACGGGGAAGATGAACGGCCTTGGAATAAACTAAAAATAAAATAAAACAAATCCGAATTTATAATTAATCCGGACTAGTTACAATGGATAAACTAAAACTCGTAGTAACTTCCATATCTTCAAAGGCCTTGCTTGACAATAAGGACTTTGAGTACTGGATTGAGGCAACAAACTAGAACGTAGACCATGTGAATAATATCTGCAAAAAGAACACCGTAGAAGGGTAGCAGAGTCGTCGGAGCTGTCCTTAAGGTAATAGTGTCTGCCTATCGTACTGGAGAATGTGGGCACCTTCCTCCCAGGATAAAACTACTATCGTGTGTGGTGGTTGTACGGACAACCTCACACCTACGAACGAGAACATCGTCGGAGTGTTGCCAACCGAAAAAACTAAAGGAAAGCCGGAATAAATTTTGTCAAAAAATAACGAAGTGCTTTCCTAAAAGTTAAACAAGAAAATTGTTTTAACCTTTTCCTTTCTCTCCTCTCAAAACCCACGTATGGACTCAAGGAAAAAAGGGTGTGCGTTGCTCATTTCCACTCTCTAACCTCCACCATAAAGTATAACTAATGATAGTCATAAGTGGTGTATTAGTGGCGTGTTTATTGACAATCGTTAACACGCTCATTATACTACGCTCCGTTTAAATTTTATCCCGAATAATTGTAGGTTAATGACCAGTTAACTCCGTAAAAATGAACTAATTTTGAACATTGCACAAAATAATATTAGAAGATTAGTTCAACTAAAATATGCATGTACATGCATCAATCATTCTCTTCAATTTTAGCCGGTCAATTTTGAGAATCAATTTCTCATGCACCCTTCTACCATTTTTGGCGTATAACATATCAAAATATTTATTTATTTCTTTTTGTAAGAGAACACACGTCCATTGTAAAATTACCACTACAAAAAACTCCCAGGATTGGCACGGAATATTAGGCACGGACATTCCGTGCCTACGCCGAAAAAGGAAAGATGACGCATGGCGTGTTTCTATTTGTGTTTTAATTTGGCTCTGCATTTGTCCGTGCCTAATTCCGTGCCAATAGCGTAAACGTTAAGACGTTAACGGTGTTGTCGGACGGCGTTTATTCTAACTAATATGCACGGATTTAGCCGTTCCAATTCCTTACCTTTCTCATAATATTCAAAATCGAAAAGGACAAGATTGTTTTGTCATGGAAATAGCCGTGCATAAATCCGTGCCACTCTCCGTAGTACATAATTTTATTTATTTAAAAATTTAAATCATACTCATAACAAAAAACTTTTATCTTTTAAATATATTAAAATCGGAAGATAACAAGACTAAAATTAGAGAAAAGTACATGATACAACTTTTTTAAGATGAAATAAAGAAAGAACTACAATAATAGAAAATTATAAAAACTTATCCAAATAAAATATCTACATCTATCGTACTTATCCAAATAAAACAAATACATCCTAAAGTTTTTGTACTAAAGTTTTCTACTCCCTCCGTCCTAAAATATAAGCAACACTCCACTATTTAAAAAACACGGGAACTTTTATTTATTTTTTGCATTTTCATTGATTATTTGATAGAATAAAATATTCTTGTCACCACTTGTTTTGTAGAACTTTTGATGTAGTTTTTAAATATGTAATTTTTTTGATTTGTAGATCATTCTTTAAATAAAATGGATTGAAAAAATTCCAAAAATTACTTCGTTTAGCGTAATGTTGCTTATATTTTGGGACGGAGGGAATATAAAGTTTTTGTACTATAAAGTAGTTGGAAGTAGTTCACATTGCAATAATTGCAGTTCACCATTTCTTTATATACGAAACCATTTCATCTAGAAACATACGGAGTATTTCAATTTTCTAACATCCGTCCGGGTACGATATATTTTTGAATTTTTAATTTCATTACATTCATTCAGTAAGTGTGTGGAATATGAACTTTCATTTCAGTAAGTATGTGTGTAATATGTTTTTTTGGTGTTTTAATTTCATTTCATCCTTTACGCGAGTGTTTAATATTTATACATAATTTACGTGAAAAAACATCTTCTATCTCGCTAATAAATATAGTTAGTTGATGATTTATTTACAATAATGTACATTTTGTAAATTTGAATTAATTTTAATATATAGATTTGATATTTAAAAGAGTTATTACAGTTAAATATTTTAAAATTCTGAAACTAGTGCATTCCGTACTAGGCACGGCGAGTATAGTGCCAATAGTTGTGCCTAGTGAAGATTCCCTGACATGATTTGATTTTGATTGTGTACCAGCGTTGTTGGCACGACTGTGGACGTGCTTTGTCCGTGCCTAAAATTATTCTGTCTTTTCATTGATCTTGGGATATAAAATTATTCTTGTGTGATTTATTTTTTAAAAATTTTAATTTTTCTAGCACTTGTAACCCAGGTACAATGTCTATATCATCTAGAAATTGGATGTACAATAAAAATGCTTTGATTAAACGCGGTTTGACACGTGAATATCTTGATGGTGTAGAAGAATTTATTACATTTGCAAGTGCCCAAACTGAATTTCTTGATAGAGAGAAAATTCGATGTCCTTGTGGGAAATGTAAAAATATGTACTCCGTACTTTATTACTGAAGACGACTTGCGTTGGCATTTATACACAGAAGGTTTTATTGAGAATTATTATACTTGGTATTGTCATGGCGAAGTATTGAATCTGTCATATTTTCCTCAGACAGTTGGCAGTTCACGTGTAGTTCCAGAGTCGGTTTCTACATGGGGTAATTATGAGAACATGACTTGGGACTAACGGGTTGTGTATGATGCCATGGCACCTAATGCTTTTCCTGCATCGTCAAATTTTAATGATGTTCCGAGCTCATCGTCTCATCAACATACTGACGATATTAATACATTGTCTGATCAATTTTTAGAAGTGTTGAAGGCAGCTGACGAGCAGTTATATCCTGATTGCGATGAGAAATCGACATTATCTGCCGTGTCAGAAATCTTGAGCATAAAGTCGGATTGGAATCTCCCAGAGGCCTGTATGTCTAGATGGTTACAAACTGTTGGAGCGTGGTTACCAAAAGATCATAATTTACCTACAGATTTTTATACTTTAAAGAAGATGATTTCTGAGCTAGGGCTCCCAGTTGTTAAAATTGATGCATGTCGTGCTGGTTGTATGTTGTTTTGGAAAAATGATGAACAACTGGACACATGTAAATTTTGCAGGGAGTCTAGATACAAGCCTACGAGCGAAAGACGAGGTAAGCTTTGCAAGCGCCGTGCTAGATCAAAACTGATATATCTACCATTTATTCAGCGCTTACAACGATTGTATGCCTCGCCTATCACTGCAAAACACATGACCTGGCATGTTGAACATGAAACTGAAACTGGCTTAATGTGTCATCCGTCAGATTCTGAAGCATGGAAAAACTTTGATCGTTGTCATCCCTATTTTGCGTGTGAACCGCGCAATGTACGTATAGGCCTCTGCATGGACGGATTTGCCCCACATGGACAGTTTGGAGCACAATACTCTTGTTGGCCTGTGATGATTACACCGTATAATCTACCACCTGATATGTGTATGCGTAGTGAGTTTCTGTTCCTAACTTTAATTTGTCCTGGACCGCACAATCCCAAAAAACGTCTAGACGTATATATGCAACCGGTTATCGAGGATTTAAGACGTTCTTGGTATGATGGAGTCCCCACGTACGATGTGTCGAGAGACCAGGTATTTAATATGAAGACAGCATTGATCTGGACAATTAGTGATTTTCCTGCATATGGTATGCTATCTGGGTGGAGTACCGCTGGTTTAAAAGGTTGCCCCATTTGTATGGAAAGGTCAAAATCTTTTTACCTGCAACATAGTAGAAAACCATGTTACTTTGATTGTCACACGCGTTTTTTACCCCACAATCATCCCTACCACAGCTGACCCCTTCTTATTATTGTGCCTCGCAGCCCTTGATGTCTCCCGTGCCTGATTTTCAACATTCTACGGTCCTCCCCCAAATGCCAAACGTTCAATCGGGGGGACAGAATTCAAATAACTGTGTTGTTAACAGTTTTCTAAACAATGAAAATCTATAATTATTCATTAACATTTGTGTGTGATCTTCGTTTGGATGCTAGACATTACTTTCATTGTGGACATTACTTTTATTTTTACTTTATTATGCTGCGAGTGATTTATTACGTATTTGAATTATGGCGTGTTATGTATTATTTTTTTAATTTCGAAATTGTTTTTTTTTATTTTTTCAAAAACTAAGGCACGGATAAATCCGTGACAAAATAATTTTTTTTATCTTTTTTTGAAATCCAAGGCACGGATATATATGGCAGTGACAAAATATTTGAATTTCGAAATTTAATCCCCTGCGTATTTGAAAATTTCCAAAATAAAGGCACAGATATGGCCGTCACGAAAAAATTGATTTTCAAAATATATTCTGCCCGCGTATTTGAAAATTTTGAAATTTTTTGAATATTTTGAAAAGTTTCAAAATTAAGGCACGGATATCTACGTGGCATGTTTGGCAAGGATACGTACCGTGCCTATTACAATATTTTGTAAATGCTATCGGGACAAAAAAATTCGTGGTTTAGTCGTGCCTAAATACGAACGGGCGATTGCCACGGACAGAGCCGTGCCTAATATCTTTAACGTTATTCTTAGAACCGTTACTTTGGAACGAATTTGTTACAAGCGACGTCGTCTCTATCGTTGGCACGGACTAGGATTCCGTGCCCAACAGTTTGGAGCTTCGAAATTGGCAGTGTTTCGTATCTGTGCCAAATTCCGTGCCTAATAGCATAGCCACGGGAAACTAAAACTATAACCCGTGCCAAATGTCGTGCCAATTCCGCGTTTTTTTTGTAGTGTACCATCCAAGTTTGGCCTGCCCTTACTGAATCCCCCCATCCTCGCTAATTGCACTACACAAATTTTGATGACTTAAGGGTTAAAAATTTAATCCCATTTAATAAATCACTCTAACTAAGTGTTAAACATAAAGAAAATACTAAAATATGAGCATAATGTTTTTATGCTCAAAGTAAGAGTTTGCACTCTGATAATGTGACACTATATATTGACATCTCATAATACTTTTTGATATTATATATTAATATAATTGACATTGTGTATGTATTTTTACTATATTTTGGGAATAAAAACTGGAGGTCTTATATGATATATTTTTTATGTTTTACTCTTACTTTAGTCTTTTTTTCCTCCCCAATATTATTTTATCTTATCAATATGTTTTTTAAATTTTATTTATTGATCAATGATTGAAAATAATTCAATGTAAAAAGGTCAACACTCTATAAATCTTCAGAGCTGGATGTACTACATTAGTCCCACAAATTCTTTCTCTCATTATCCCATTATATTGAAAAATCATTTTTTCTCTCCTTTCTATTAAACATCACTTTAATTTTAATCTTACTAACTCTTATCTTAGCTATCACTTCATATTTATTCACTAATAATCTATTCATCACATCAAAAATATTTTTGGAAATTAAAGTCAACACAAAATAGCTCTTTCTTTAATTTCATAATAAAAATCAAAACAAGGACATAGTGTGACTAGATAAGTACTCCCTCCGTTCCACAAAATCCTTCCCCTTTCATTTTTTTTAATTCCCTAAAATACTTCCACTTTCTATTAAAAAACTACTTTTACCTTTACTTTTTCATACCCTACCTATCACATCATACTTTTTCTCTAATAACCAAATTAAATTATCACATCTTACTTTTACCCATCACATCAGGGGTAAAATTGAAAAGTCAACCAAAATTACACTTTTCTTATTTTCACCAAAAGTCAAAAGTGGAAGGGTTTAAAAGAACGGAGGGAGTAGTATTCATGTATAAATCACTACCGGATTAGGTCATTTGCAAGGCGGGGGGTTTGGGGGGGTGCGCCGCACCAAAAGCAGACCAGGGCGGACTCACGTGGAGTAATATGGATCACGTGACCCTACGGAAATTTCGTAATTATATAAGGAGATGAAGACGTACACAATTACAATCTTCTAAATTAAACAAAATAGTGGGGAAAAAATCTTTATTAATGGGATAAAATCACGAAATAGTGATAACTCACAGACACGTAATATATATATATATATATAAATATAATACTCCAATTGAATTAGATTAAAAATAAAAGGAGATGAAGACGTACACAATTACAATCTTCTAAATTAAACAAAATAGTGGGGAAAAAATCTTTATTAATGGGACAAAATCACGAAATAGTGATAACTCAGAGACAGGTAATTGTGAAAATAAAATTACATACTACTCCGAATTATTGAACGAACGTAAATGAATTGTCAATTTGAATTGCATCTAATGCAAAAGAGCTAATAAGGCAACCCAGAACAACGTGACCGGCAAGCTTGTAAGAGCCGCTGAAGTCGCGGCAGTGTTAGGCTGAGTCGCCGGAAGTTGTCCTTTTGAGGGGCCCGACACAGGTGGCACGGCAACAGAAGGCGGTGGCGGTGCAGATGCCGCCGAAGGTGGAGTGGCAGGTCGGGAGACAGGGGAGGCTGTGCCGCCGGAGACGTTGATGGCCAGCTTCTGTCCTAGGAGACAGTGGGGACCCACTGTGCAAATGTAGTAATGCTCGCCGGTGGTTCTGATACGGATCGTGACGGGTCCCGTCGTATTGGCGGCGGCGGTTGTGCTGCATGAGTTAAAAGATGTCCTGCTCACCTCCGCCACATTGTGACGGCCCATTGTGAAGTTGAAAACTGCAAATTTTCAAAAATAAAATTATCAAATGTTATATTTTCACTCAATAATTCATGATGAAAATTAAGGAGGGTATTTTAAAAATTAATTTGCATTCAATAGAAGGAGGGTGTTTGAAAAAATTACCTAAAGAGTCGCCGACTTTGAAAGTCTTGTTTGTAGCTCAAGTTTGGTAATAAGAGTCTCCACCAGTAGGAGGGATAATCCAACCTGAACCATCACCAACCGTATAGGTTTGGGGCGCTCCACCGGAAGCCGCCGGGGAAGGCGTGGGTGCCGCTGTGAGGGGATACAACAAGGTTGCTGCCACCGCTACCACGGCGGCCATAATTAAAGCCATGTTACACTTTCTTGCCATTATTTACTCGCTTATTATTTCCCCTTTAGTGTAACTCCGTATCAATCTTTGTTGGAAGGGAAATAGATAAACTAGGGTGATGGGTATAGCTCTTTATATATACACAACAAAACAATACTCCCACTTCTACGGGTGATAGGTCATGCGGAGTACTTTACTTTCTCCCACGTGAAGTACTAAGTTTTTTTTTCTTTTTATTATTTTTTATTAATTACTCCCTCCGTCCCACGAAACCTTTCTCCTTTCTTTTTTTATCCGTCCCACAAAACACTTCTCATTTCTATTAAAAAGTCACTTTTACCCCTTACTTTTTCATACCCTAACTATCACATCATACCTTTTTACTAATAATCCATCCATCAAATCATACTTTTACCCATCACATCAAAGGACATTTTTGGAAATTCAATACCAAAATACACTCTCCTTAAATCCCTTCTAAAAAGCAAAAGTCTCATGTTTCATGGGACGGAGGGAGTATTTGTTAAAAAAATACTAAGTACTCCGTATAATATAGTTATGTGTGAACTAAATTTGATGATAATGAAACATAAATTTCTTATGTTAATAGTTATAAAAAATTCTTATTATAACAGCTACATGAGGTAACATGACTTGACCTAATTATAAATTCGATACTAATTATGTACAAAACATATTTTTAAAATGGAGTAATCATTGAATGAAGTATATTAAAGCTTTTAATCTATACTCACTCTCTACCAAAAAAAATTATCAGAGTTTGCTTTTTTGATAAAACTATGCAACACTTTTATTACAAACTAAATATAGTTTCAAATAATTAAATGTTTTAAAAGATTGATATATGAAAACAATATATTTAAATGAGCTCGATTTTTTCTATATTTACATTATAACTAAATATAACCACCATTATCGGGAAAAACACATTTGATGGAGCGCTGAAAATTATTTTCCACCAACCGTTTAAAGGGAGGGAAAATGGAAAACACATCAGCCTTGCACTTGAGTGGGTACCACCAAATGTATTTTGTATAGTGATCCAAAAAGATGACATAATAGTGATAGATGAATTTACTTTAATAGCACTAAACATAATGACTTTCTCTAAATAGCATCACATGTGTTTTTTCTTTCCAATGTAGCACTTTTAGTCATTATGCATTAGTCATTATTCGAGTAAATATTCGCCATCACTGGACATTATTAAGTGCTATTTAGAGAATACAATAATATAAGTGCTATTTAGGGTAATGACTTAAGTTTTAGTGCTATTTAGTGCAAATATTTCATAGTGATAACCATCCACAGAACACTAAGTAGTTCTCCAAACATCAGTGTAAAGTAGTTCCAATTGTGAAGTACTTGTAAGAGTATTCTTAGAAATAAGGTAACTTTTGGCTTTTATTAATATTAAAAGAGGAACAATGAAATTGAGAAACGGACAAAATATTAGAAAACTTTGGGCATTGGCGAATGATAGAACTCAATGCCTTATTATTAGGATGACCCAACCGATGATGAAGATCGGCAACAGACGAGACAAGAACAAAAACAGTATGCACGCACGGCCTAGATGAACTTGGCAGGCCAAGCCATGAAGGGAATGTAAATTTTGCTTGAGTATTCCTCTAAGTAGAGCTTTCCCCGTAAGTACATCCTTGATGAGAAAACAATCAGAAAAGAATTCAACCGAGACATGATTAGTGCGACATAATTGAGAAACTGATAAGAGATTATGTTGAATAGTAGAAACACATAAGACATTAGACAGATTTAGAGAACGAGAGGGAGTAGACAAACTCGACCGACCTGTGTGAGAGATGGATAAAGTCTTGCCATTACCCAAACGAATTTCATCCGGTCCACCATACGCCATGAGTGCGCTGAGAGATTTGGGATTATTAGCCACATGATGGGAAGCTCCGCTGTCAACAATCCACTGAGTATCAAACCGATCGCCATTGTCTGGAGCAACCGTCATGTTAGCAGTACGACGACTAGCATTGTCAGTGGTGATGATAACATTATTGTACCTCAAGAAACGTTGTAGTTTCCAGTAAAACCGAGTATCGTGACTTGACAGATCACAAAAACAACAGTAATGACCTCCACGATTAAGATTCCCAGAGAATGCCCCACGACCTCGATTTCCAGAGCTAGAGCCACCACTGGTGTGAGAAAAGTCAGAGGCACCACCACGATGGAAAGAAGAGCCACGATCTCCTCGTGAGCGTTGCACTTGGTGAGCAGTAGCAAGTAGATCATTAGGAGGAGCAGACCTTGACACGATCTCACGCTCACAATCCTTTAGAATTATGTAAAGTTCATCAAGGGAAACACCATCTGATCACCCAGGTAAGGATTGGTAAATGGCAGAGTAATCATCACCAAGTTAGATCATAATGCTCACAACAAGGTCATCTTCATCAACAGGACGCCAGCCAGAGCTAGATCAGTAGCAATGTGCGCCATGCATATCAGCAATGTAAACATCAATTGTATGATTTCCACGTGGATTTTTGGCCAGTTGAGCCTTGAGCGAGATGATGCGGCTTCGGGACATATTCGTGAGATTCTTCAGCAAACGCATCCAGGCATCAGCTGCGGTTTCAACAAGAGATATTAAGGGTTGAACCTCATCAGTACAGCTCCCTAAAATAGCGCTGAGGAGGATATTATCATGTTGATACCATCGAGTATAAGCAGGGTTAGGTTGCGACTGAGCTGCGTCCAAAAAATGGAGCATGTGGCTTCTTGACAGTGCCATCCACAAATCAAGGAGATCTAAACCAATGAGAGTAGTTTGGACTTGGCTTCGCCAGACCAAAAAATTTGATTTGGTTAATTCGATATGGAAATTTTTTAACGCATACATAAGGATCAGTTCAGGAGCAGAGGAGCCTAAGTCCGTGGCGCTAGAGGAAGGTGCCATTGGCATATTGCTGAGAATAAGGAAAAGGAAACCTGCTTAAAGGAAAACAACTCTGATACCATATAAGATCTTAATTTGTTGTATATTATTGATCAAGAGAGGAAGCATATTTATACAGAGAGATTACAACTTCTGATCCAATTTATGTGGAACATGGAGGCACTATAGCTAGATAAACATAAGTTAGTTATTGTATTTACAAATATTATAAAACTAAATATCATTAGATAAATACAATTATTTATTATCATTTACAGGAACTCGCGTCGTGTGGATGTAATTCCAAACTTGTCCTTGCATTCCACACGGCCAAAAAATGTGTTTAAGTTGGTATACACTTTCAGAACATGGGAATAACACATTGTCGTCATATCCAATATAACATGTATCGATACCACTAACGCATGATCATTCCACACTGTCAAAAAATGTGTTTAAATTGGTATACACTTCCAGATTATGAGCATCATCACCACTGCGAGAAAGTGAGTTAAGTATTGTAAATCATAACACATTGTCCAAAACATGAGCATAACACACTGCCGGAAAGTGTAGGCATAACATGATCATTATTCCACACTGCCAAAAAAGTTGGTATACACTTTCAATTTTGTTTATTAAATGTGTTTAAGGAGTGAGGAGTGGCTCGACGGTTCTAAGTACTACGTACAATGAATGAGAATAACGTAATCTACTAAAATTATGGATCTCAATAAATATGGTAAATGAAATAGTTAAAATACTGCATTATAATAAAAGAGTATGATTGGGAGAGATCCACGCCATAAATAGCTAAATGTGTGAAAAACAATAAGGGGTGCTATATGTGTAATATTGGGTGTCTTAGAGTGCTACATAGATGATAAAAAGTAAAGAAAAACAAAAACGGTTTCAACGTAAAAGAAAAAAAATCTTACCAAACATATAACAAATGTGGTTTAGACAGAAATATAAAAGCAGAATTATTTTAAAAACCGTAATAAATTTTTATTTTTATTTTAAAAGATAGAATTTAATTTTTTGAATATACGAAGTATAAAAATAGTTAAATACTCACTCCGGTCCAAAAAATCTTTTATGTCTTGACTTTTTCCAGTCAAACAGTGATACTCTTTAACCACAAATTAAACATAATTTAAATAAATAAATGTTATAAAAATTTGATATATCAAACCAATATATCCTAAGATGAACCCATTATGTTTAATTTATTTTATAATTCAATATAGTTTGCTCATGATTTATGGTAAAAAAGTATCACTATTTGACTAAAAAGTAAAAAAACAAAGGTTTTGTGAACCGGAAAGAGTATTAAATAAAAATAATAATGTAATCATTACCGTAGAAGTGAAAAACTACGAGTGTGAAGTAATTAAGATGATGAGTGCAATTGCTAATATGATATGGAGTGGGTGCTGAATTGCAATGAGCATAGGTAGAACACTACACTTGGCCTTAAAAATCTTCTGAGCAAAATAATGGAGAATAAAGCTTTATAAATGGGATAAAACCACGAATTAGTAATATCATACTCCCTCCGTCCCGTGAAACATGAGACATTTGCTTTTTAGGAGGGATTTAAGGGAGTGTATTTTGGTATTGAATTTTCAAAAATGTCCTTTGATGTGATGGGTAAAAGTATGATTTGATGGATAGATTATTAGTAAAAAGGTATGATGTGATAGTTAGGGTATGAAAAAGTTAGGGGTAAAAGTGACTTTTTAATAGAAATGAGAAGTGTTTTGTGGGACGGATAAAAAAATAAAGGGGAAATGTTTCACGGGACGGACGGAGTAATATAAATCTCACAGAAAGGTAATTGTGAAAATATAATTACATACTACTCCATATGACTTATTGGGTATCTCAATGTATATCTATCATAAACGTAAATGAATTGTCAAATTAAATTGCATTCAATGCAAAAGAGCTAATAAGGCAACCGAGAACAAAGTGGCCGGCAAGGCCGCAAGAGCCGCTGACGGCGCGGCAGTGCTAGGCTGAGCCGCCGGAGATTGCCCAGATGGGACGACGTCGGGACCCGACACTGGTGTAGCGGCAACAGAAGGCGGCGGCGGGGAAGATGCCGCTGGAGGTGGAGTGGCTGCCGGTCCGGCGGCCTCCCCGGAGACGTTGACAATGGCCAGCTTCTGTCCCAAGGAACAGTGGGTACCCACTGTGCAAATGTAGTAATGCTCGCCGGGGTCTCCGATACGGATCGTGACGGGGCCCGTCGCATTGGCGGCGGCGGTTGTGCTGCATGAGTTAAACGATGCCTTGGTCACCTCCGCCACATTGTGACGACCAGTTGTAAAGTTGAAGACTGCATATTTTCAAAAAAAAAAAAAAAGAATTCTCAATATTATTCGTATAGTTTAACCTTTTTTTTATTAACACGTACTCGAATTTCAATCAATAAAAGATGTTTGAAAAAATTACCTAAAGAGTCGCCGACTTTGAAAGTCTTGTTTGCAGCCCAAGTTTGGTAAAGAGAGTTTCCACCAGGAGGAGGGATAATCCAACCTGAACCATCACCAACCGTATAGGTTTGGGGCGCTCCACCGGAAGCCGCCGCGGAAGGCGTGGGTGCGGCGGCGGTGGGCTGGGCTGTGAGGGGACACAACAAGGTTGCTGCCACCGCTACCACGGCGGCCACCATCAAAGCCATGTTACACTTTCTTGCCATTGTTTACTCGCTTATTATTTTCCCTTTAATGGGTCTTGCTCTTTATATAGACAACAAAACAATACTCCCACTTCTACTGCTGCTAGGACATACGGAGGGCAAGGGGGTGAGGGCGCCTGGGGTGGGCGATTCCACCTTTTGGACCGCTAGGACATACGGAGCACTTTAGTTTCTCCCACTTCAATTAATTAATAGTCTTACAGTCTTACTAAGTTTTTTCATTTATTTATTTTTATTAGTTATTCATTAAAATAATATAGTTATGTTGAACAAATAATAATATAGATATGTGTTGTAAACTAAATTTGATGGTCTCATTAAACATAAATTTCTTATTTTAATAGCTACATGACTTGACCTAATTATATTTCTTCCATCTTGAAAAAACTGCACCCTATATATTCAAAATTAATGTCACGAAAATTTTGTTTATTCGTGCATTTTGATTAATTATTTAATAAAATAAAATATTCTTGCAATTGTCACCTCATAATATTTGAAATTTTTGATGTAATTTTAAGCTATGTGAGTTTTATTTTTAACTTTTTTATCAATTTTAAAATAAAATGAATAGAAAAAAAACTTAACAGTTCGCTTCATCTTGCGTAAAATGTGAAATAATTTGTAACGAACGGAGTAGAAAATTGGTATAGTTTTTACTATATGTATTTGTTTATAATTTTTGCATCATAATTCAAATAAAATGAACCTTGGAGAATAAACTTTAATTTATATCACCAGGACTAAACTTATTTAAATATTAAATTATATTCTGAAATACTTCACCATTAGTGTTTTATATTAACGGATCATTTTGAGTTTTTTTGCAAGTATCTAGAAACTCACAACAATCCCCAATCGGTTAATGTGGAATGGATTGAGTACCCTGAAAAGTCTCGCTTTTACTTTTAAAGTCTTTAGAGCATGGGCAGTGGCGTGTCAAAGCCAATGCCACGCATGCCACATAGGATTTGACACGGTTGATTTGGGCGAGGTATGAAGGGGTAACCCCCCTTTTCGTGGCATGTGCGAGGCATATACTTGCTCCAAATCCTTTTTTTTCTTTTGGAAAAAAAGAAGAAATACTTCTTATTTAGTTATTTTTTTAGATATTTTTTTTGATACAAATATATGAAAACTAATTTATAATACAGAGTAATAAATATCTAAAAAATATAAAAAGTTACAAAAGGTGAAACTTCCATATTGTTTTTAAAATTTTGTTTTTTTTGGATTTAAAAAAATGTTTTTTTCTTACAAGAAAGAAGAATTCTTTAGAGTACATCTATTTTTTGCCTCACTTTCAGTCTTGCATTTGTTTCTTTTCCATGTTTTTTTGTATCTAAAAATAAAACCCTCTTCCTTCAAAAAAATAAAAAATAAAAATTAAACTCCCTTTTTAAAAATCTAATAATGTAACCCTTGGTTCTAAAGCTAAAAAGAGGTAAGTAAAATTTTTTTTTAAATAATTAAAATATATTAAAAATGTGTAAAAATGATAAAAGGAGTGACTTGCCACTGCAAGACATGCCACTCCACCCATGTACCATACGGTGACTGGACTACTTTTGATTGACTAAAATACTCCACGTCATCGTGTGGCATTCAATTTCTTACTTGCCATTGTCCATGCTCTTAGACAATAGACAATTGACGCTGACTTTGGTCATTGAAAATTGGAAATTTTGAATGGGTCGTAGGCAAAAGCGTTGTGGAGTGGGTCAGACGTAGTGTGCCCACTTATCAATCTGAAACCCGGAAGAAATTGGATGGCGGGGCCTAGGCGACGACATTGCCCATGCACCGCCGAGTGGAGGTGACTTTGTTTTTCAGCGTTCACCCCAACTATCATCAAAAGATCCCCATTTTTTTGAGGTAACTAGACTCGTACCTGTGCGATGCACGGGCGGAAAAATTAATTTTATTTAGTCATGAAACGAAAAAGAAATGATACAAAAATTAAAAGATAACAAAATACATTTAAAATACCCAATATAAGGTAACGTACATGAACGACCGTAGTCGATATACAGTGTTATAAGTTTTGGAACGCTTCTTTATAAACTACATTTGTAGTTATGTTCGTTGACGGAAGGTCTTTATTGCAAATCAAGATCTTTAATCCCTCGCGACTTGTAACACGTGAAATTGCAACATACAGTTGACCGTGGCTGAATACTGGTTTCTTCAGTAGCAATCCAACATGGGACAAAGATTGGCCTTGACTTTTGTTAATTGTCATAGCATACGAAGTCATGATAGGGAATTGTTTCCTTTGAAATCTAAAAGGAATTCTTGCATCTGACGGTGTGAGAGATAACCGTGGAATAACAACTTCTTGGCCGACATTTTTTCCTGTCAACACCGTGGCCTGAGTAAGATGATTGCCAAGTCGTGTTACTTCCATTGCAAAGACCAGATGATTGATCAATATTTCTCAACAACATAATGGGTGTTCCAACCTTCAACTTCAATTCATGATTTGGGACACCAGAAGCTCGTATATTGTTCAAGAATTCCGGAGAATGTAAATCTGACAAAAAATCTGCATTTGAATCAGATTTACACACGGTATCAGAGCTAAAGTAGCTTTTCGCTTCTCCAACGTTGTTCAATGATGTCATGTAGTCATTGATTTCATCCACAACGTCTAGAGTTGGTGCAAGAATGGCTCGATTCTGCAAATATGTTGGATCACTTGCAATATTTTGGAAATCTGGATACGTTGAATGAACTATAGTTCCTATAGGATCATCTGTGCTTTCTAACAACATATCGTCAGGGATAATAATCTCACTTGATCCGTCATTCTCATCTCCAGCCGTTCCATCACCGATCTTTGCCCCACTCCCCAAATTCTGACATGCTCTCGTAATTTTTATCGTGAGACATCTATTGCAAGCGCATGTTTTTTGTCAATCGTAACACTGTACAATGGTTTCATAGATATGATGAGTTAATGGCCGCATTGACAATGTCTTGTCTTCTCCCTTTAGGAATAACGGGTAGAATTTGTCGAAAATCTCCACCAAACACAATGGTTTTCCCTCCAAATGGACGATCAACATTCGATGCATTAACAACAGACATTACATCGCGCAGACTTCTATCTAGAGCTTCAAAACAATACTTATGTGTCATTGGTGCCTCGTCCCAAATTATTAGCTTCGTTCTAACCAATAAATCAGCCAACGGTGTTCCTTGTTTTATATTACAGGTGGAATTTTCATGAGGACTGATGGGTATTCCAAAGCGTGAGTGTGCAGTTCTTCCACCGGGTAACAACAATGAAGCGATACCACTTGATGCAACATTTAATACAATATATCCTTTGGATCGAAGGGCAGCAGACAATGTTTTCCAAACAAATGTCTTTCGAGTTCCACCATATCCATATAAGAAAAAAACTTTCCCCTCGTCCAAGTCAACAGAAGACATTACACTTTCATAAGCTGTACGATGTTCGCTATTCAACAATGTCAAACAATGTTCGTGCTCAGATGCCATTGCCACACGATCATATTGAAGTTCGTCAAGGATTAGCCGGTTCCAGGTAGTAGTCGCGTTGTCTAAATTGGGGAAAGGCATATCATCGAAGTCTCGCAGACTTTTTCCACGCATTGAAAGCAACATTTGAACTTCAATCAAGGCATAATTCTTGATTTGATCCTCGGTTAAGGTCAAACCTACACATTAAAGAGAAAAGTACATATGAAAAATGGTTTTATGTATAACACATATAAATATAGTTAAATAATATTACCTTGATGACTTAGAAGACAACGTTGGCGATGTAGTATATCATCGCCATGAATTCCCAACATTCTTCCCAAACATGTTTTGGTCTAGACATTGATTCGTTTGTGAGGAGTGTCACGAATAAAAACCTCAATGGATTTGCTGAACACCACTGACTTGCTTCTTTGAATCCATCGATGTACTCCCTATCATCATCTAGCAATCCCATAGCATAACATGCATCGCGATAAGTCTTGTGAACAACACCATTGACAGTTTTTAGATCTTCGTATGATGTAGGACCACGGACTATGTTCAATAAAATTCTCATGTAATAAGATTCTCCAGAACCTGGAGGAACATAGATAACACGCCCTATAGCAAAACCTTTTAATCGAGGTTTGTACTCTCTCTTACCAGCCTTCCAAACAAACTTTTGAGGAAACTCAGCATAAGTTAAAGTCTTTGCCAAAGGATATTTTTCATTCGCTTTCATCCATGCAAGAAATTTACTTTCACGTATGCTTTCTCGAGTGTAGACATCACTTGCATCATCATCGTCTTCAAAAAAAATCCATTGCTCACCTGCTAAGTGAAAGCTTAAGCGTTCAACGCTGGGACATTTATATTGAATCGAGAATCCAAATATTCACCACGTTGCCTCACACGGAGAAATATATCTGCAATCGTAATACATTTTAATTTCATTTGGCATTTCTGCACTTGATGAAGCAGACGTTCCTGTGCTTGCATAAAATCCAGCAGTGACGCGATCATGTCCTTTGTTTATGTACTTGAATAAGTATTTTATAGAACGCGATTGATTGCACCATTCTACATTTAAATGGGCCCCATACTTAAGCAAGAGATATCGATTGTGAAGAACTACAAACCTATTGTCCAACTGAACACCATTCTTCAATATCGTTCGTCCATCATTTCTTCTCCTATATTTTGGATATCCATCCTCATCAATGATGGTCTCTTGGTTGAATAATTTAGGAAAATATTTAGAACACTTTCCTTCTTTCATGCAAGGAAAATTTGGTCTGAGGGTACCACATGGACCATGAATCATAAAATCACAGACTGCATTGAAGTATTTTGGATCACTCCCTTCATTAGGCAACTCCGCAGAAATGATTCCATCAATATCTTTAGGCGTTGGAAATTTATCTGCATGTCCCAAAAACAATAATATGTGCACATGGGGTAAACCACGTTTCTGGAATTCCACAGTGTAAACAACTGCAACCCAAAAAATAATTTATGAGTATTTTTAATTTTGGAAAGCAGATGGAAATAAAACTTGGGCATTTAATTAAGGCTTGTAATCAACACTTGCTCTAATTTTCCCGAATATTTCATTCTTCTTCAAATCTCGAATCAATCCGTTGAGTTTGATGTTAAATATTCTTGAAGCAATGTCAGGACGATCTTCGGGCTTTAAATTACGACCACACAGAAAGCGATCTATTTCCGGCCATTTCGGATTACACGTGAATGTAAGAAACAGATCTGGATACCCTGTCCACCGGCATATTGCCATGGCATCTTGATAGCTCTGGATCATGTAACGTGCGCCTCCGACAAATGTTGCGGGAACAACAATTCTTTTCCCTTTTGTCATTGTGTCATTGTCACCATTTAGCAAGGAATCTGAGAATCTATTATACATCTCACATCGAAGTTTCTTTTGATGCTTGCTAATATACTTCAATCTTGATGACTCGGCCATCGTATATCCATCAACACACAACTCTTGAAATAAATGACGTGAATGTAAAATGGAAGAACTTTCTTCATCCCTTTCATGTAAACGATATGAAAGAAATTCTCGAATGCTCACACTCCTGCGTCCTCCGACATTCAATAAATTATTCTCAACAAAGGGTATATCTTCGCGATAACCATCATCTCCGTATGGAAATAATAAGGAATATTGTAGACTCAAATAAGCCGGATTTAATTCGCTAATCCTTTTCAATGGTCTATGATTTCTTTGAACCAAAATATCCCTCTCACCCAAAGCTTGATCTAAATCGCCAACCACTAAAGCGGCTACCTCACCAACTGATGGTAAATTGTACAATCTTGGATCAGAAGTCCTCTTTCCAATTAGCTTCAAAGTGAGATTCAATTCAAAATCTTGGCTTATTTTTTCTCCAACCATTCGAAATGACTTCACCAAGACATTGTGAGTATCCAACATTTCTCTAATTTTAGCAACAATCTCGATATGTAATGAGTGGACATTGTCTTCTTTCCTATATATAAATGACATATGTAGCTATTAAAATTTAATAATGTACGCATATGCGGGGGTTTTTGAACGATGAAGTGTTATAACTTAACGTCACTATAATGTCAAGTAAGACAATGTAAGTACATACCTCACAGAGTGGATTCTATTGAAATCTTCATTTTGCGTGTCGTAAATGAAGAGTTGAGCAAATTTAGGGACTATCCCATCTTGGGGTACCAAACTGCCAATCTGATGAAAATTTTGTCCTCCAAGCTTAAAAGTTGGTGGACCCCTACCCGGGGTATAATCTCTAATAATCTTGCCACCCAGAGATGTGAAAGAGAACATGCAGTTATAAGAGCGAATATTAGTCTGAAAGTGCTTACTCTCAACATATGTCCCGAGAAGGAAATCCTTTAGAGGCATTGGTGGTTGCTTGACAGGGGCTAGTTTGATCTTTCCTTGTTTGCAACACAACGAATATTTTGGATTCTTCTTGGATGATTGACTAATATGTCGTTCTTCCAGCCAAAAATAAGCTTTACAGTTTTTACAACTATAAAGGCAATCACCAACGTCCCAATACTCGACGTTGTGTAAAAGGTTCCTCCGGGAAACATTTACTCGATGATTAGGTGTAAAATCCTCTGCATCGATGAAATCCATTTCCAAATCTCTAACAACATCTGCATCAGCATCGAGATGATCTTCTGTACTAATATTAGCATCTACACCCCAAGTTTGGGTGATAAATACGTCGGTGAGTGGATCAAGATTCATAGAGGAATTATTGTCTTCGTTCACTGTTTGTTGTTTAAAGAATAATGGGTAAAAAATTCATTGAGTAAATTATATATAGAAAAATAAATGAAAAAATATATATACGATGGTGAGATTTAATAATAAACTTGAAACACACCTTCGCCATCAAGATTTTTTCTTTTCCTACCAACGTTGTCCTGTGTAACACAACTCTTCAGTAGAGATGTGTCTCGGATTTTTGAATTTAGCGATGAAGAATTGGCATGAGTTAATGGAGTCGAAGGTAAACGATCAAATGGCGTTGTGACAATAACTACGAAATTCAATACTTATAATAATGAATGAAATACAAACCAAGAATTTCAATACATATATATGTATAAATATATATATATATACACACACACACACACACACACACACATGTGTGTGTGTGTGTGTGTTTGTATATATACTGTTATTAATTGAATGGACATACCATTTGTTATGTTTGACAATGGAGAAGCAGTACACGTAACAGGACTTGATGAATTTTGTAGTGGTTCACATTGCAAGACAGACTTTCTCCTCAAGTTTACTCCACCAAAACTCTTAGAATTGGATTTTTCTTTCAAAACATTAGATCTCCCATTTTCTATCCAAACATTATAGTGATATGTTATAATTTAAATGAATCAACAAAAAAATGATGATCTTAATTTGAAATTTAACAATAAAGAGCCATCGAGTGACTATATATCTAAAGCGTAGTTATCTTTATAAATTTTAAATTATGAATTTTCAAAAGAAAATTGTGATACTCAAAGAAGACGAACTTACATGTTATACTTCAAAAATATTAAAAAAATAAAATTATTGTCTTGGTAAGCTTATAGAACGATATGTTGATCATAAGTAGTGTCATGCAATCTTTGAATTTCATAACAAAACAATAATTATGATCTTAATTATAAAAAGCATTGGATACAATGAAAACAAAATCCAATATAAACTGATTCGAATACATGACATTCGGTGAATGTATCAAAATGTTACAAATTAAAGCATAACATCTAACATATTTAATGAAGAACATAAAGATCATTGAAATATTTCTTGTTTGGAGTTTTAACTCGCTTAGATTGTCGGCGTGTAGGTCGTGGCGTTATTGGTGGTGGTAGTCTCGCACAATCATCACAAACAAAAAACACTCCCCATCCAACGTCCCCAATTTGTAAGCACGAAAGATGACCACGTACGGAAAAGCATTTCCAACACGGTACCATAAAATCTGAGTCTCGCTTACTCTTGCACTTGTAACATGCACGCAACCAACATCCAATTCCTGCTTAAATTGTGAAAAAAAATAGTTCTAAAATTTTATTGCGTTCAATTTTGAAATGAATTTATAGAATATAATTTTGATTAAAACAATTTTTTGTTTGTAAAATTGGCCCATACAATAATATTAACAGCCCAGAAAATCCATTTTTGAAAACATACTGGCCCAATTAACGCAGCCCAAAATTTAATATACTCCTTAGATAAGCTACCCGTCGTTTATTCAGTGAACCACACATTTCCTACCACTGTATCTTGCGTTTTCCTCTCTCTAACCTAATCCAGACCTAGCCGGCGATGGAACGCAGAGAGATCGATCGAGAGCGAGGAGATAGTCAGATAGAGAGAGCGAGAGACTGCATGTAAGATCTGATTTTTGGTATTTCACACTCCCATTAAATCAGGTATTGAAGTTTTTGTAGATCCGTAAATTTCTTGTAATATTGAAATTCAATCCAAATTTTTTCTAAGTTCATATCTATGAAAATGTTTAGATCTAATCTAAAACAATCATGCATCAAGTTTTGTTTTTTATAGATCGAAATGATTTGATAAATGTTCCAAATATTTTAAAAAAATTTCGTAAGTTCAAATTAATTGATTAAATTAGATTTATTTTTAAAGAACCATGCATGTTAATTATTAAAAACCAATTTTAATAAGAGTAGAATTTATAAAAGAAAATATGAATTACCTTTGAAATGCGGAGGATTACCGAAAATTTTTCCCAGTTCGTAATTCCATTTCTGTTTCTCATTGAAATTTTGTAACATCTATTGGTCACTAAGGGGGTAATATTTATTTATTTATTTATTAGAAAGTAATTATAATGAAATAGATTAGAATGGTTTTAAAATTGGTGGAAATGTAAATATTTCACAACAAATTATAAGTTATTTTAGTCAATAAGTTACAATATATGCAACAATTTGAATTATAACTGAATAAACCCTTCTGTCAAATTTATTTTAAGAAATTGCAGGTCTGACATTATTTATACGTTGTATTATTGTTTATAGAGTATACATTTAACATCCAGATCAATTGATTTCGATAAAACGTAATTCTAACTTAATCATTTGACCTGATATATTGGAGTGATACAGTATCGTATCGGGATAGGGAAAGTTAACACCTTCGAGCTATAGAATCGAGGAAAAGAGAGAGATTGAGAAGGGAGAGGGGAAGACGGCCGTTAATCGGCGAGGAGGAGAGATGGAGTTTATTGATTGAATAATAAACTCATGCATAATGGCTACATTTATAGAAGGTTGATCTAAAGAGTCCTAGCCATATAAAAGGTAACTAAATAAATTAAAATACTAATAACCTAATATAATAATATTTCCTAATAATAATATAATTATCTAACGATATATAATAATAATAATAGTAATATAATAATTGTTAGACAATAATATTAATAATATTTCTTGTAGTATTGGTTATGGTAGTGTTTCATTATTAGTCAGCTTTCTAATCCTATTTGTGGTAGATGTTGTATGTTAGTTAGTTTCCATTCTCTATTCCTAGTTGTGTTAGGAGTCTCTCCTATATATACTCTATCATGTACTCCATAATTCAATGAGCAATATTATTATTCCAATATTTCAACATGGTATCAGAGTCACCGCTCTTGGTGACCTAAAAAAAAGTTCTTTTCTCCCGCCGCCGCCGCTAGTAATTCCAGCGACGGCGGCTCCACCCTATTCACCTCTATTTTCTTTTCCTTCTTTATCTTCAAATCAACTTCTCCATTCAAATGAAAAAAAAGGAAAAAACTCCTATTGAAATCCCACAAAAAAAACTATCGAATGAGGAACTTCTCTCTTGTCATCTATGGTTCTTCAAAAAAGAAACTCAACTCCTCACAAACTCTCTCAGATCTCAAAAAAAAGGAAAAAAAATTATTGTTGTTTCTCTCCAATTCACCACATCAAAATCTCAAACCCAAAATTTTTTTCCATCACCAATTCTTAACCTACTTTTTCCCTTTAAAATCACTCATTCCAATCATCAACCTCCCTTCTCTTTCTCTTCTGTTGAATCATTAAAAATCTAAAGTAAATCAGCACAAAAGCAAAGCCAAGAGGGGAAGTAGTGAAAGAGGAAATAAGACCTCTACAACTCACCCCTTCAAGAAGGAAATAGGGCATTTCCCGGATCCAAGAAAAAGACAAAAAATGTCAAGGATCTTCAGTCAAACAGGCACCTCCAGTAGCTTTCTCTATTCTTCTTCGACGTCAGCAGCTACAAGCGCATGTCAACCTTCTCTCATCTTCATCGACATCAGCAGCTACTAGCGCACGTCAATTTCTCTCTTCTCCAACGACGTTAGCAGCTACCAGTGCACGTCAGGCTTCTCTTTTCTCCAACGACGTCAGCAGCTACCAGCGCGCGTCAGATTTCTCTCTTCTCCAACGACGTCAGCAGCCACCAACGCGCGTCACACTTCTCTCTTCTCCAACGGTGTGAGCAGCCACCGGCACATGTCAGACTTCTCTCTTCTCAAAGTTTCTTGTTTCCAGCTAGTGTCCAAGCTCCCTCTTGCTTCAGCCAGAGTTCAACTTGAGGGGGGATGTTAGACAATAATATTAATAATATTTCTTGTAGTATTGGTTATGGTAGTGTTTCATTATTAGTCAGCTTTCTAATCCTATTTGTGGTAGATGTTGTATGTTAGTTAGTTTCCATTCTCTATTCCTAGTTGTGTTAGGAGTCTCTCCTATATATACTCTATCATGTACACCATAATTCAATGAGCAATATTATTATTCCAATATTTGAACAATAATAATGGTAAATAACTAAATATAGTCCTGTATCACTCTTCCCGCCTCGAAAACCAACTTGTCCTCAAGTTGGAAATCAAATAAAGAACGGGAAAAATTTGCACCGTTCATCGTCCATATGCCGGGGTCAAACACCTTGATCCTTGGAGCACCAAAAGAACGAGTCACACCGAAAACATTCCCAGTGTCAAGTAAACAGTTTCGGGCAACCAAGAGTAGGAATATTATGCAATCATGTGCAACCTCCTTAGAATTATAAAGGACAACAACGTCACTTTCTGACGTCCCAAAAGTTTCCGTGCATCCATAAAAAATGACACCATCACTTGAATATTTTGCTTGGACAGTGTGGTCTCGTTGATCGTCACCAGAAACATCAACAACAACATCAACAACAGTAACAGGAACAACATCTATGGGATCAAGAATAAGATCATCATCAGGAACGCAAACAGGATCAATAAAAATTTCCTTTTCAAATTCCTGGCCCTGCAAAGTTGTGTTCTGCACAGGTACTGTAGGGGCCGAATCTCGTGAAGTGCCGATGAGTTTCCTTATAGAGCGCATCATGGTTGTTTTGAAAATATATAACTCTATAGGAATCAGGCTCGGAATAATTGGGAGACCACGGACTAAATTCTGTATTGAACAATAGGCCTCTACGGCGAACGCATATACCTCGGAATCATATTTTGGTTGACCTTCAATTTGACGGAATGCCTGAAGTTGCTTTATAATTTCATCCACAGAATCTTCAACTGCACACACGCCTTCATAAAATTTGATTTTGCCCCGTAGAACTTTCTTGAGTAATCAAGAACTTTGTCCAATAGAGAATTCATTGCCAAAAGAAACACCACCACAAAAAAATTGAATTGAATTTTGTGGCCGATTGTTTTTTGTATAGAAGTGATAAAGCAATGCAAATTGGAAATTGAAAACTCAAATCTTCTTTGCGTGGGCCGAAGCAACCAAATTGAGGCTATGATATGATCACCAAATATATTTTTCTTTGCCAAGCAATTATGCGCAAGAAGAAAAAAAACCTGATGGAGTTCTTCACAAATCAAATAACCTTGCAGCTGTCCCTTGAATTGTGGCACGACTAAGAGAAAAGAGCCCGACGGCAGCAAGTTTGCTGGTAGTGACTAATCTTTTACTCTTTTTTTGGTGAGTTCAAGAATGAGAGCACCAATTGATACGGTATCGTATCGGGATAGGGAAAGTTAAGCACCTTCGAGCTATAGAATCGAGGAAAAGGGAGAGATTGAGAAGGGAGAGGGGAAGATGGCCGTTAATCGGCGAGGAGGAGAGATGGTGTTTAGGGTTAGGAAAATATCTCTTTATTGATTGAATAATAAACTCATGCATAATGGCTACATATATAGATGGTTGATCTAAAGAGTCCTAGCCATATAAAAGGTAACTAAATAAATTAAAATACTAATAACCTAATATAATAATATTTCCTAATAATAATATAATTATCTAATGATAAATAATAATAATAATAATAGTAATATAATAATAATGGTAAATAACTAAATATAGTCCTGTATCAGGGAGTGTACATCAAAACATATATAGAGTTATTAAACCTTTTTGGACATGTTCAAGTATTATGTTTGAACATGTAAGGGTTTAATTGCACATTTGAAAGTCATTCTTCCACGGTTGGTTTTTTCGAGGAAATTCAGCAAGGAAACAGATTTTACAGGTAACAAATTTTTATAATGCATATATTAATTACATCTTTTTTTGTCTAATAAGTTTAATTAATTAGAATGAGTTTAGTTATGAACGGGTAAAATCATTTTTTTAAATATTGATTAATGGACCTTAATTTAATTCTATATTAAGTTGATGTTTTTTACCCTATAATAAAATTATTAATATGTGATCAAATATTGAACCAAGTTCAGTTGCATACCCAATTTAATTTATTTATGTATCATACATTTCTCTAATTCGTCATCCTTCACACTTTTGGAATTGATTGTAGCACTTTTTGTGAGCTTTCTCATTTCAACCAAGTTTGTCTTCAAAGATTTCCAGGATTAACATGTTTAATTTTAATGAATGATAGGAACCAATATTTAAAAAACAGAGATTTAAAACATTTTTATACAGAAATCTAAAATAGATTTTTAATAGTTAACAGTATACAAATCTTTTCACAATGCATTATTAAAAACAGAACATTGAGGTGTAATAGAATTTTTTTTGAATTTGGTTTATTAATAATGAGAATGGAATAAAGAGTGTTTTCTAACCTTGAAAAAATAAGCCTTGTATTGGATGTGGTTGTTGGTGTAGTTGTATGGAATTTATTGTTGTAAGGAATAGGTTGAGAGGTTGAGAGATATGTAGTGAGATATAAATGAGAAAAACTTAGGGTAGTACCAACTTAGAACCTAAGGCTAGTTACTTTAGAGGTGTATAGCTCTACAATTTCTAATCATACGGTTGCTATGTTTGTTAAATTTATACAGAGTATATATTTTGAGCATTTTAATTATAATATGTGTATATGTTCTATATATATAGAAAATCAAATATATATAATTGTCATTTGAGATCCGTGCATGTATTAAATGCTTTGTTCCCCATGCCCATTCCCAAAAAGCATAAATGAGTACTCCTCCCGTCTTTAAATAGATTACAAATTTTTTTTCATAGTCTCGATAACTTTTGCTTGTTAACGCGATTTCATTAAAGATTTGAAAAAATAAAATATTCTTTCACCTATTGCTTTGTAGAACTTTTGATGAAGTTTTTTTAATATGTAATTTTTATATTACATTTATATATACTCATTTGTAAATATAATGATTTAAAAAATCAGAAATTTTTACTCCGCAACCCGCAATTTGTAATCAAATTGGGGACGGAGGGAGTAATATTTTTTCGGCTACGGCTGTTGTGAAATCCAGCAGCCATTTAAAATCTAACCTTTATTAAATGCTTTATTTCTCATGGATGATTTTTAATAGAGTAGGATTAGGGAGAAACCAATAACCGTACATACACTTAGGTGTTGAAGATATTGTATATATTTCTTGGCAATCTAAAAAGCAAGTGTATTAAATGCAAAGATATTGTCCAACCAATTGATTGTCAGTCCAAGAGATTTTCAAATCTTATTTTAATATTTTTATATTAAATTCAAATTATAAATTTATCTTTACTAATATGATCAATTTATTATAATTAAATAAGCTGTTTTTAAAATAGTTTTCTATATAAAAACATGTTTTGGAGGTATTAATATGATTATTTAATGTATGGTGGAGGTAGGCCATGAAAACTTTACCCTTGAAAAATATACATCTTTAATTTATTTTTATTCATGATATCACCATCTTCTCTTCGACCGACTCTTAAAAATTACTCCGATATTTTAAGAGATTATTTAAAGTTGTTTTAGATAATCAAACTGTTAAAGCTATTTTAAATACTCAAATTTTAGCCCAAATTTTTAAAATTAGATTTTAAGAGATTACAAATCATTTTATATAGAAAGGATTAGAATTTTTAGATGGCCAAATACTCATTCATTAAATGGGTCGTAGATCTTAGTTAATTGAAAAACGTGTCATAATGATTTAACATATTGAATTTCACAAAGCCCAAAGCTAAACTATAGAAAGTTTTTAGCTATTTTCCACTTAAGTTATTATCAACTCCATAAGTGTCTAACTTTTTTTCCACAATTTTTCACCCTAAAATAAGTTTACTTTATTTGCACGGAAGTATGAAGAATTTTAAGAAGCCTAAATAGGCGTTCTTATTCAAAACACAACAAATATATTAATATCCGACTGAAGCACATATAAGAAAATTTCCAAATGAACATCTGGAAATGCCCCATTATAACAAAATATAAAAAACAACATAACATAATATCCAGATTAAAAACTGGATTTGCCACAAATACTTGAGAAATTGTCTAAACCACATAGGATAACTGGACAAAGTCAATGTCCTTCCTAATGGGTTTGAATCAGTACAGCTTTCCAATCCTTCATTCTTCCAAATGCTCCCTTTTCACCTTCTTCTTGCAAGATGTAGTTGATAGCTCGTCAAGAAGTTGTCTCTTAACCGGATCATTCCCATCAATAGCATCCATCTTCCTCCGTGAAGTCGTCTCGCCTTGGCTAGAACTTGGGTTGTTTGATCCAATCTACATAGGAAAATAAAATGTTAGTATGACATTATAGGTTTTTTGAGCTAAGTAATTGTTGTGCAGAAATCGAGAATAACAAAAATAAACGAGATAAACACGACAACAGATTTAACGTGGTTCACCAACGTTGTGTTGGCTAGTCCACGGGGGAAGAGGGGGAGCAGTTTTATTTCTGATGAAGAGGCAAGAACAGAATACAGCATAGGGTTTGTGATAGCACCCATATAAATAGTGCTTGGCGAAATCCTAACAGACTTAGGCCCAAAACTACAGAATCAACAGATAATTAGAATAGCCCAATTAGAATGGGGTTCGGACATCTCAGGATTCGGACCTCTCAGAATTCGGATTTCTTGACTTCTCTGGAAGTCGGATTTCTTGACTTCTCCGGAATTCGGATTTCTCAACTTCTCCGGAATTCGGATTTCTCAGAAGTTGGACTTCTCCGGATGTAGGACTTCTCCGGATGATGTAACGAGTCAGATTCAAGGCATTACAAAAAATCTCCACCTTGAATTGAATTCTCCATACAGATCCTTCAGATTCAGACGCACTTTGGTTGTGCCAGGCCTCCCCCTCTTCCTCAGAATTGCCCCGCAGGGCAACTAACAGCTTCTGATGTTAAGCAAGTCCAAACAGTGTTGAAACTTGCTTTGCGGAACCGGCTTTGTGAACATATCAGCAGGATTATCAGCAGTTCCTACTTTCTTCACTTGGATTCTCCTCTCACTCCTCAAGAAATGATACCTCACGTTAATATGCTTGGTTCTTTCATGATGGACTTGATCCTTGGTTAAACAAATCGCGCTCAAACTGTCACAATACACTGTGGCCTTATCATGATGCAAACTAAGATCACTAACCAGCCCTTTCAACCAAATTCCCTCTTTTGCAGCTTCTGTCAGGGCCATGTACTCTGCTTCCGTAGTTGACAAAGTTACTATAGATTGCAAAGTTGCCTTCCAACTAACAACAGAACCTCCAAGAGTAAATACATAGCCAGTCATCGATCTTCTCGTGTCAACATCTCCAGCATAGTCAGAATCAGAATATCCTGTAACCAAACACTGAGTATCACCTCCATAAATGAGACCAACGTCAGATGTACCTCTAAGGTACCGGAAAATCCTCTTCACAGCCTGCCAGTGTTCTCTCCCTGGTTGTCCCAGGAATCTACTAACTACACTTACTGCATGTGCTAAGTCTGGCCTTGTACAGACCATGGCATACATCAAACTTCCTACAGCACTAGCATAAGGGACTCGTGACATATACTCCTTCTCTTCTTCTGACTGTGGAGCGAACATGGCAGTGAGATGGGTATTGGCAGCACTGGGGGTGTCAATAGGCTTAGATGAAGACATGCCAAACCTCGTCAAGACCTTCTGAATGTAGCCTCTTTGTGACAAGAAAATTTTCCTTTTCTCTCTGTCTCTAATGATCTCCATCCCTAAAATCTTCCGAGCGGCTCCCAAATCCTTCATCTCAAACTTAGCACTAAGTAAACCCTTCAGCTTCTGAACGTCATACTTCTGCTTTGCAGCTATCAACATATCATCTACATAAAGCACCAGGTAGATGAATGAATCATCCTTGAGCCTATTGTAGTAGACACAACAATCATATGGGCTCCGAGTGTAGCCCAACTTCACCATATAGCTATCAAATCTTTTGTACCACTGCCTTGGGGACTGCTTAAGTCCGTATAAGGACTTCTTCAACTTGCAAACGTGAATTTCCTTCCCTGGAACTTGGAAACCATCCGGCTGAGTCATGTATATCTCTTCTTCTAACTCTCCATGTAGAAAAGCTGTCTTCACATCAAGTTGCTCGAGCTCCAGGTTCTAATGTGCAACTATTGCTAGTAACACACAAATGGAAGTATGTCTGACCACCGGTGAGAAGATCTCATTGTAGTCCACTCCCTCTCTTTCGTTGAAGCCTCTTGCAACGACTCTGGCTTTATACTTGACCCCTTCTGCTGGTGATATTCCTTCCTTCCTTTTGAAAACCCATTTGCAAGTAATAACCTTTCTCCCTGGAGGCTGTATGACAAGATCCCATGTTTGATTTTTATGCAAGGACTCCATCTCATCTCCCATAGCAGTTAACCATTTTTCAGAATCAGAACTTAAAACAGCTTCTCTATAGGTAGATGGTTCAGAAGTATCTACCTCTTCAGCAACCTGCAGTGCATAACCCACCATATCCTCAAAACCATACCTCATAGGTGGCCGAACTTCAACCCTTCTTGGTCGATCTTGAGCTATACTACGATGGGTATCTGATGGCATAAATTCTGGAGAATCAGTTTCTGTCTGTGACTCTTGATTCTCCCCTTCAGGTTCTTTCGTATCACCTTCGTTCTGAACGACTTGAAGCTCCACCTGTTTATCAAGACTCTCAGTTTCTGACGTAAATGTAGGCTTCACGATGGTTCTAAGCAGAGAAGTTTCATCAAAGACAACGTTTCTGCTTAGAATAACCCTCTTTTCTGCTGGAGACCAGATTCTAAAACCTTTCACTCCATCTCCGTAGCCCACAAATACTCCCTTTTTGGCTCGTGGTTCTAGCTTACCTTCACTGACATGATAGTAAGCTGTACAACCAAAAGCCTTCAGATTTGAATAATCAGCAGCTTTTCCTGACCACATTTCCACAGGTGTCTTGCACTGAATGCCTGTATGTGGTCCGCGGTTAATCAAGTAGAAAGCTCTACTAACCGCTTCTTCCCAAAACCTTCTGTCTAGCCCAGCATTAGAGAGCATGCACCTTGCTCTCTCCAGAAGTGTTTGATTCATCCGTTCAGCTACACCGTTCTGTTGTGGTGTATTCCTGACTGTACGATGTCGACCAATCCCTTCATCCTTACAGAATTGATCAAATTCAGACCAACAGAATTCAAGTCCATTATCAGTTCGCAACCTCTTGATATTCTTCCCTGTTTGGTTTTCTATCAATGTTTTCCACTCCTTGAACTTTTGTAGAGCTTCACTTTTATGCTTCATCATGTACACCCAAGTCATCCTTGAGTAATCATCAATAATTGACACAAAAAATCTGCATCCTCCCAAAGACTCAACTCGGCATGGACCCCAGCAATCAGAATGAATGTAATCAAGTGTGCCTTTTGTTCTATGAATAGCCTTTGGAAACTTGTTGCGATGTAGTTTTCCAAAAACATAATGTTCACAAAACTCCAGGCTCTTTACCTTATGACCAACAAGAAGATCTTCCTTTGACAAAATTTGCATCCCTTTTTCACCCATATGACCAAGTCTCATATGCCACAACTTGGTCATATCTTCCTGTTTAACTTCTGATGATGCAACATGGACTGAACCTGTAACCGTGGAACCTTGTAGAAAATACAAAGTACCCCGCATGACACCTTTCAGAATCAGATTTGAACCCTTCCAGATGCGCAGAACTCCATCCTTTCCTGACCAATTGAACCCCTTGATGTCCAAAAGACTGAGGGATATCAGATTCTTTGTCATCAATGGCACGTGTCTGACCTCATTCAATGTACAGAAGCTACCATCATGTGTCCTTATCTTGATCGAGCCTGTCCCAACCACCTTGCAGACAGAACTGTTGACCATCAAGATGCTTCCTCCGTCTACCTGCTCATAGGTCATGAACCCACACATCTGAGTGATGAGTGTTTTCATCAGCAACTAAGGCAATGTCTTCTTCAGAATTGGTATCTTCTTCAGCAACAGCAGCAGAAACTGATTGTTTTTTGGATTGCTTCTTCTTCTTCGGACAATCAAACTTCCAGTGCCCCTTCTCCTTGCAGTAATTACAAAAATCATCCGGCTTTGCACCCTTTGACGATGGCTTCCTCTCCTTCTTCTTTCCACCGTTTTTCTTTCCCTTTCCGGCACTGGTGAATAGGCCGGAAGGTTGTACATCTGTACTCGTGCCGTTAGCCTTATGCCGCAATTCCCTGCTATGAAGGGCCGACCCAACTTCTTCCAGAGATACAGTATCTTTCCCAACAATGAACGATTGCACAAAATTTTCAAACGATATTGGGAGAGATACCAACAGAATCAGGGCAGCATCTTCATCCTCGATCTTCACATCGATATTACGCAATTCTAATAACAAAGTATTTAATTGCTCTAAATGTTCCCTGAGTGGTGTACCTTCAGCCATTCGTAAACCGAATAGACGTTGTTTCAGAAGTAGCTTGTTGGTTAAAGATTTCGTCATGTACAGACTCTCCAACTTCAACCACAAGCCAGCAGTAGTCTCCTCGTCTAAGACCTCCGTGATAACGTCATCTAACAGACACAACATGATCGTCGAAAGCGCCTTCTCTTCCAGAGTCGCCATCTCAGGAGTAGCGACGGCGTTTTTGTCTTTCGACAACGGCGCCCAGAAACCTTGTTGTCTCAACAAAGCCCGCATCTTGATCTGCCATAAACTGAAACTGTTCCTCCCTGTGAATTTGTCGATTTTCACGTTCAAAGCAGACATCTCGAAATTCTCCAAGAACACAGATTAACAACCAGGCTCTGATACCAGTTTGTTGTGCAGAAATCGAGAATAACAAAAATAAACGAGATAAACACGACAACAGATTTAACGTGGTTCACCAACGTTGTGTTGGCTAGTCCACGGGGGAAGAGGGGGAGCAGTTTTATTTCTGATGAAGAGGCAAGAACAGAATACAGCATAGGGTTTGTGATAGCACCCATATAAATAGTGCTTGGCGAAACCCTAACAGACTTAGGCCCAAAACTACAGAATCAACAGATAATTAGAATAGCCCAATTAGAATGGGGTTCGGACATCTCAGGATTCGGACCTCTCAGAATTCGGATTTCTTGACTTCTCCGGAAGTCGGATTTCTTGACTTCTCCGGAATTCGGATTTCTCAACTTCTCTGGAATTCGGATTTCTCAGAAGTTGGACTTCTTCGGATGTAGGACTTCTCCGGATGCTGTAACGAGTCAGATTCAAGGCATTACAACAGTAATTATGAATCTAAAAGTGTTTAACAAAGGTAAAATTTGATACCACTGTTTGAACTTTTTGACTAAGATCTTCAAGAGCATTCCACAAATCAACATCTTCCTTTGAGTCATCATCAACAATGTCCAAAACATGTTCATACTTCTTGAGAATTCTTGGATCCGAAACGAAAGACCGCACACCAAAAGACCTAGGACCGTTCCAATGAGGACTACCCCCCTCGGACTTGACAACAACATTAAACAAACCTTTTCTCCCAATTAAATGGTTCAGCTCTCCCGGGAACAAATTTTGGTCCATCTTTCTCTGAAATCATTAGATACAAAGTTATTTGCCACAAAATGTACTTTTTCCTATAAATTTTAAAAAACATTAACAATGAAAATTTATGATACCTCAAGCATCATCTCCCTAAGAAGAAGGGCACTCCCACCCAAAATGTCTTTGCACTCTCTGTCCCAAAGCGTTAGGGAGGCATGACCGGTGATGTCAAAAACGTGGACACTAACTTTAAACCTATCCAATAAAACGCGGAAATATTACATTCCCATCGCATTTTATTATCATAGAATCATGTCACGAAGTTGTAGAATTAGTAAGTACGGAGTACAACTTACTTGTAAACCCCATGCGGCATCCTAAGATCACATCCCGAACATGTAAATGGGAACCATCGAGTATAACCTTCTTGCTGCATTCGGTGCACCCCAAGTAACACCAATCAGGTGTATTTTCAAGATATGAAATCTCACCGAGAATCCAATATGTCCCGGGCTGTTTATTTAAATATAAAAAATCATTAAAAAAATTAAAGTTTATATTTTGATTATCATACATGTAAGATAGTACAGTGCTTAATATAAATAATTTAATTTATAAAATCTAACCTTTGTTGTATCAATAAGAGTCTTCAAAGGGGTGATTTTTAGGGGCTCATTCACTTGTTCATTTCCACCATCCATTATCAAAGTATTCAGGCTACTCCCATCATCAACTTGTAGAGGTAGGCTACAAAAAAATTCTCTTTAATTTGAATTTTAAAATACAAAGAGAAGTCATAAATACTATAGAGGGCAGTTTCGTATGGTACCTAGCTCGGAATTGATTAACTTCATCAGAGTTACCATCGAAAATCATCTTCGTGACATGAAAAGAAGTTGAAACACTTACCGAGCCTGTCAAACAATTTAAATTAGTCCGAAATATATTACTAAACATCATTAACAATGAAACTGATATTGATGAATATTGATGAAAAGATTAATTACCCTGGTATCGCCTAGGCTTACAGAAGCTAAGAAGTAAGATAAAAGGTCCCGAAACACCTTAGGTCAAACAATTCAAGAATTTCTCCACATACTCGCCCCATAATGTGCAAGCCAAACGATTGCCTCTGCATTTATTTGTTTACTCAATATTTTGTTAAGAAATTTCTCTTATGTATTATTTACAAATATGTGCTCATACTCATGATCTTCAAGTGTTATTTCCATTAGCTTCTCTTCACCACCTCGTTTAAAGTGTGTTTGAACTTTTGATCGCCCAACAATTTTTCCTATGACATCTGCACATTACGAAAAATTAATTCTTCCTTTTTAATTGACTGCAAATTTGCTTAAAGAAATATCTTCAAAAAAATGTTTTGAATGCATTTTTGAAATGCACAAATGTTTATTTCGATTTGCCCGTGCGATTTTCTTATATATTTTTATTTGAATGCAAAAATTTCAAAATAAATATTATTCAAAATTTTATTTTGAATGAAAACCGATATTGCGGAAAGTGGATGTAAAAACATTCAATGCAAAATGTGCGGATGCAAATTAATTAGTTTTGTATACCGATGAGAAGTTGGTTGTTCAAACAGGGTTGAAATTGAAGGTCCGAAAATGATTTCAAATCGAAGTTGAAATTGGGAAAATCTTTTTCACTTAGAGTCTTGACTTCTGTTTTTGGATAAAAAACCAACAAATATTTATGCGAAGTTGTTTTGCATGTTTGGTAATTATCATTAACAAAAACATTTTGGATTCCAAAGACACCATCTTCAACAATTTGGTTTTCAAAACGCTTCTTTTTGGAACTCTTAAGTTGAGCATGAATCCTTGTCCCCTGCATAAAAAAAGAAAATATTTAGAAAATAAGTTTAAAAGAGCGAAAATATTGTGTAAGAAAGTATACTAAGAAATTACGCGTTCGTCGTGGAAGATGACTTCCATGGAATCTCCGCCCTTAGACCATGCCGGAACATGGTAAACTCGGATTGCTCGCAACTTAAGTATCCAACCCGTTTTTTCGTAATCAATGCGGTCAAGCATGTGCCACATTTCGTTTAAAGGCTTTTTGGACATAATGGTATTCTTGTTGGTAAGGAAGTTTTGTGGGTGATGGAGAATTTGGCCCTTAAACTTCCCTTAAATAATGTTCTTGGATAGGTGGAGGATCTCTTGCATTTAATGCCCATGTACCATAAGATTTTTTTCAAATCCAAAGCATTAAATGACCATTAAGTAATTGGGCTCTTAAAAAGTGCTTTTCAGCATGTAAATACGTGCTCACACTCCCCAATTGTTTATTTTCATGATTACCTAAACCACCCTATTAAAAAAAGCTGCCCTATATTAAATCCGAACATAGGCCTGGCGCACTACACGCTGTCCAAAACCCAAACAGCCTAGCGCACTACACGCTGTCCAAAATCCGAACACAGGCCCACTACACATCTCAGCCCAATTTACCCATACCCGGCCCAATAATTTTAGGCGGGAACACTGTTCATTTTGGCCTCCTACCATTGTATATATAGAGATTATTCACCAACTTTTAAAGGTCAAGGTTGGGTAGGCAAAGTTCTGTTCAATTTTTTTTATTACTTAATTTTATTAATATTAGATTAGATCAGTTTCAATTAAATCAGATCAAATCAGATCCAATCAGATCAGATAAGAACAAACCAGATTTAAAACCAATTATTATTATTATTACCATTATTATCAGTATTATTATTACTATAACTATTACTATTAATATTATGGTTATACTTATTGATACTATTGTTATTATTAATATCATTATTATTATCATTACTATTAATATCAATAATATTATTTCTATTATAATTATTTTTATTATTATTATATTTATTATTACTATTATTATTATTATTATTACTATTACTATTACTATTGTTGTTGTTGTTGTTGTTTCTATTATTATTACTATTATTATTATGACTATTACTATTATTATTATTCTTGCTATTACTATAACTATAACTATTATTATTATTTATATTATTATTATCACTATAATTATTATTACTATTGTTATTACATTAATAAATATTATTATTACTACTAATATTATTATTATTATTACTATTACTATTATCATTATTATTATTATTATCATTGTTACTAGTATTATTATTACTACTATTATTATTAATAATATTTCTATTATTATTATTATTATTTCTATTATTATTACTATTATTATTTTTATTTCAATTATTTTTATTGCTTTTATTATCAATATTTCTATTATTATTATTATTACTATTATTATTAGTATTATTATAGTTATTATTATTATTACTATTCTTATTACTATTATTATTATTATTACAATTACTATTATTGTTATTATTATTTCTATTATTATTATTATTATTATTATTATTATTATTATTACTATTTGTTAATATTTCTATTGTTATTACTATTATTATAACTATTATAATAATAATTTTAATTTTTATTTTAATCAAATTTATATCAAATCACATCCAATCAGATCAGATCAAATCAAATTAGACCTAAACTTCAAAAAATCAGATTAGATCAGATCAAGCGAATAGAACGCAACCTTAGCGTATTTGTTATGGGGATTTACCAAAGTAGCGTGTCCCTTCCTCAAGCCCCCTCACTCCGCTTTGCTTATTATTCTCCATCCCAAAATACTTTACACTTTACATAAAACAAAATGAAAATAATTTTTTCATTTTGTTTTATATTTAAAGATAGGTATAAAAATAAAAAATAAACTTACATATAAATATCTTGTCGAAAATTTTATAAAAAAAGAGGTAACAAGAATATTTTATTTTATGAAAAAACCATTCAAAACGCACAAATAAACAAAAATTTTCGTAATTTTTGAATAGTGAAGAATGTAAATCTCTTTAGGATGGAGGGAGTAATAAAAGATCAAGGACTTAATTTTTAGGTAATTTAAGAAAAATATTCCATCTGTTCAGTTTTAATATTTTGATTTCACCTTTCTTGGTCAATGTCTGTAAACTTTGACTTCAATATTGCTCTATACCAAATTTTAATCTTTTCATTTGAATTTTATTTTGAAGGTTGTGGCTTAGTAAAAATCCTTTGGAATTTCATAAACAGAGCCCAAAGTGATGTACATTCGAATGTATAAAACTATACAATCAAACATATAGTTTAGTTCCAGCATGCTTTACGAAAAGGCACATAACGTTTGAATGTTTAATACTCCTTCCGTCCTAAAATTAACTTCTCATTCATTTTACCGGTCTCTAATGTATAACACTTAAACCATTAATATCTCTATTTATATATAAATATATATTATAAAATAAACTCTTTTAAAATTATGTTTCAAAATGAATCTATGGATATTAAATTTATATGAAATTAAATTTATTTTTTCCGTGATATGCGGTCAAAGTTTAAAGAATTTGATCACAAAGTCAAACTGAGAAGTCAATTTTAGGACATAAGAAGTATCAAATATTCAAATGTTTCGCGATTAGACGTGATGATTCGCAAAGACGACCTTATAACTTCTAAACAGTTACAAACATTCATATTTTGGTCTAAAATTCAAAACACATTAGATGTATATAGGAATTCTCCAATCCAATTGAATTGGATGTACCTTGGGGAGGTGAATCTAGCCATCTAGGAGTATAAGAGAATCCCCTTCTCCATTGAGATATATGAGTGTGCCTAAGAAAAATAGAAGGCATGGGCTTTAAAACCTAACCAATTGGAACAATGCCAATATCAAGAGCCAAATGTTATTGTGAACTAAAAGTCCAAACCATTTTAGGTGGACTTTCATATTAGTATGGTAAGAAAATGTTTAGTTTTTATTATATGCATTTTTTATAAAATAATATGATAAAATGTTTATCAGGGTATATTTAGCAAGCTATATGAAGATCAACCTAAAATGATGTAGATCTTAGGTCTACCATAGAATCAGTCGACAAGAAGAATTTACTATATATGGGTCAAAAGGATTTAAAGTAAATACTCCGCATTTAAAAAACTCTAATATTTTTTGGAATTATGTTTTTAAAGTATGATTATTGCTATTATTAGAAGAAAATGATAAGGATTAGAGGTGTCTTTAAAGATATGCCTAAGAGTGACAATTATAGCACTAGCATACTTGTGGCTACTTATAAGAAGCCCCTCCTTGAATCACTTCGGCTTGTAATAGCTACATAATCCTTAACTACCAGTTTAAGTTTTGGCTGATCATGAGGGAGATATTGCTAATAAAGAGCAAGCTGAGTAAGTTTATTATTAGCATAGATACAACATGTGTTCCATGTGCTCAAGAAACAAGGATTTTCTCACCTGTTTTTGTACATATGCACGCTAGGTTCACAAAGAAATTTTAAATTTATTGCGTGTTCTGAAAATATCACGGTGTTTATAAAATGCACTAGTATGCGTAGGGTTCACAGTACAAAGACATCTTTGATTAGTTGAATGGCAACATCACCATTATATAATTGTGAGAAATGGGAAAGAATTGAAGATCATGAAGATCACTCCAAAAAAGAAATGATGGCTGACCAAAGCAGGATGGGCAATTGGTTGCTACTCCGTATAACGTTGAAGAGCAAGAAATGAAAGAACTCATAAAAAAGAAAAAAATGATCACAAAGAAGGAATCCATTGTTAATGTTAAATTATATATACAATGTTATGTAACTATAAAGTTGGAGTATAAACTGAAAGCAATTTAGTTAGCATAAGCATATAGTAGCATAGAGTGGATTTGTATTGTTTGGTTTACTGAATTAAGTGCTTTCGGTTTGAAAGGAAAACATAAATCTAAATATAAATGCTCATAAACCATTGGTTCAATCTGAATTCAGTGTTATCGAGTCATGAACCTTCATTTTTCAAACCAAATCACAACTTATCCAAAACCAAAGTATCACGAACCTGAAAATATTAAAATAAAACCCGACCGATAGGTTCTGTGGGGGTTTACGTCTGCCACACATGGTGCGGGTTACATGAGTACATCTGTTAAAAAGTGAATAACAAATTTGAAAGCCTCAAATAAGCCATCAGGTAGTGTCTTGGTGTGTGAGTGTGTACATATTAACAGGCAATGAAATCGAGAATGGTGTTAAATAACATGGAACAAAAGTTGGAACTTTGTAGTATAAACATTACAAAGGGAGTTCTTTCAATAACATGCAACAAAATCTGGTTGCAACCTATCTAGAAGTGCCCTTAGCATTACAAAGGTCTCGGGGAAGGGCCATTAAGACTTCCTCTAACTTCATCAAGGGACACTCTTGATTGGATTCTAGAAATGAAAAAAAATAGTTTACATCAAACGGAGTTGGGAAATGTCTAAGACTTCCTCTATGTTAGAAAATCATGTGGAGGATGAATGTTGCAAAGAAGTGTTGAGAGTAAGATGAACGAAGAAAAACATAAATTACAACTTGGTAGTTTAAAGAATTGCATAAATCCTTTCAGGTTAAAGTTATTTTAGGGTATACCAAAATACTTTAATAAGATAAGACATTATTCAAAAATAGCACTTCAAATTATGCTCTCAACACCAGCAAAAGTTGATGATTCCAATTATCCATTGTGGTCTGCAACCGTGAAAGTCAATTTGTGGACACATTAACTTCTTCAATACGTCGATGTCTCAAAATGGCCCCCCTTCTCTTATATTGGCTACAACCTCAGGAAAAGATGATCCTTCGATTATGAAGGCTATCCAGCTCATGAAACATGGCGGATTATGGATGCACAAATCTGGGCTTGCCTTTTTGCAATTGTCTCTCCTATAGTTCAGATGTGTATTCATGCGTGCTCTCCCTTCTGCTTCTACTATCTGGGTTCATCTTGAGCATAGGTATACCTCTATATTTTGTACACATATTTTCGAGTTAATGGAACGCCTGCATAATCTCCGGAAAGGCAATGATTCTATGCAAACCTATTTCGATAGTGTTATTAATATTGTTGCTTCTTTAAAACTGGCTCATGAGCACATCTCGGAACAATAGATTATTTTATGTTTCTTGTGTGGTATTCCAGCAGACTATGCCCCACTAAAGCAAAATGTTCGGACCAATATTGGCAATGTTACTTTGAATCAGGTCAGGCTGGCTCTATCTGAAGAATAAAATATTAGCTTAGAGAAGAAATTACAGCTTGGTGATTCTACCTCTACCTCCTCTCCTAATGTCCACAATGCAACTTTTACAAATTCTAGACATGGCAATTTTCGTGGATGGGGCCATGGGAGCTATCGCGGTGTAGGGGGACCACCACGGGGTGGTGGTTTTGGTGGCTGTTGAGGGCGATACCAGCCACAAAACCAGCCGGCGAACGCTAGCAGATGGGGCCACATGGTGGATCAGTCATTTTTCAATTATGTGGCAAACCTGGGCATGCGGTCTCGTACTGTAGGCACTGCTTTGATGGATAATATTCTGGTCCTCCACATGTTTACTATATGAGCCAATCTGCTGAACATACTCAGAACGGTCACCTAGACACTAGAGCAAATGCTCATGTGACATTTGATTTCTCTAGGTTCCAACATTCTTCTCCATATCAAGACACCAATTCTATCACCACTACGGGAGGTAATACTTACCCCATTGATCGCACATGCTCAGGTATTTTAACCACCTCTCACCATACCTTTCAATTACACAATCTCCTCCATTCCCATACTATTAATTCTCATCTTCTCTTTGTTCACCAATTTACTAAGGATAATAATTGCTCTCTTCTTTTTACATATAAGGACTTTAGAATTCGAGACAACACCACCAACCAAGTACTTTTTCAGGGCCTCTGTAAGCGTAGCCTGTATTCCCTTCAAGCTTTTAGTTCTTCTTTGGTGGCTAATGCGGTCAAAGTCACTCCATATCAATGACACTATCGTCTTGGTTATCCGTCTATCCAAGTTACTAAATTTCAAGAACTTGATCATTGTAACTCATATTCTCTTGCACTAATTGATCTTGTTCACTCGATGAATGGGGACTTACTTTTGTACTCTATTTTGGGGAATATCGATTTTACATTAATGTTTTTGATGATTATACCAAGTTTTATTGGGTATATCCTCTTAAAAGGAAGTTGGCAGCGTTTGATGCATTTCTTAGTTTCCAATAAATGATCTATAATCAGTTTCATACACAAATTAAGGGGGGGTGTATTCAATCTGGATTTTGTAGTATTTTTTGGATTTCAAAAGTCTATGGGTATTCCATCCCGATTTAAAAAAGTCATTTAAAATATGGAAGTATTCAATTCAGATTTTAATATATCCTTCTAAATATAATGGTATTCAAAAATCAATTGATTTTAAAAGATTTCTATAATCTATGGATTTTGATGGATTTGGGGCTTTGGGTATAAATTAAAATATAAGTCCAAAATCTCACAAAAATGCAAAGATTTTGCAAATCCACGCAGGTCTGTCTCGATGAGCACTGCAGATCACTAAGCCATATGAGCACTGAAGTTCGAGGTTCGAGGATATAAAGATCTCCATTTTGAGCAGCTATTTTGATCTCCATAGTCGACTCGATGTGGAGCAACGATGGCGGTAACTCGACGTGGTGCCATGATGACGACGACCCTTGAACTAGGCAGAGAAAAGGACGAAGATCGAAGAAGAGAGAGGGGCTAGGGTTTCTAGGGAGGAAGAAGGAAAAAAAGAAAAGGAAAGAAAAAAATAGAAAGAATGGATTTGGACAGAAGAAGCAGCTAGGGTTCATGGGGGAAGGAGAAAAAAAAGAAAAGAAAAAGAAAAAGAAAAAAGAAAAAAAGAAAAAAAGAAAAAAGAAAAGAAGAAAAAAGAAAAGAAAAATATAATCCTATAAAATCCTTTGATTGAATACATTAGAATCTAGTTAACTCTGCGTAAACTTAAAACAATCCAATGAACTTACAGAATCTATTGATTCTAAATAATCTATCAAAATCTTTTAAAATCTAAATTGAATATACCCCCCTAAAATTGTTCGAACAGATAATGGACATGAGTATGTTAATTAAAATTTTGGTTTGTTTTTACAATAGTTGGGGTTCTCCATCAAAAATCATGTTCATATACTTCTGAACAAAAAGTTTTTGTTGAACGCAAACATTGAATACATACTACTCCCTCCGTCTAGAAATAATCTTCCGAGTCTACCTTTTTGTCCAAAAATAATCTTTCAATTATACATTTTCATCTCAATCCTTTCAAAAATACCTCTATCATTACATCTCATTTTCTTCTCCTTTCTCTCTCTTTCTTTTTCTCGGAATCTTGGCCTATGCATCCTCTACACAAGTCTTTAACTTCGCGCTCTCTCCCCCCCATTCTTCTTCTCATCCTCAGCCTTCTTCTTTCTCTTCCGTCTTTCCTCAGATCTATGTCTTATTCTTTTTTCTCTCCCTTTCTTCTTTCTCTTCCGTCTTCCCTCATATATGTTCTTCTTCTNCCCCCCCCCCCCCCCCCTTATTTTTTCTCTTCCTGCACTGTGGTGAGGGCGGAAGGAGATGGTGAGGGTAGGGATGACGATGATGCAAATGTTGGCGGTGAGGGCTGGGGTGGCGGTGGCTTGTGGCAGCGGTGAGCAGTGAGCCGACGGTGGGGTTGGGGCAACAGTAGGATAGTGATGGGGGCAAATCATGGAAGATAAGAGAGTATTTTGGACATTTTAATGTCATAGTCAGCACTCGTTAAAAGTGAGCAAAAGTCAAACCAGAAAGATCTACCCTGGACGGAGGCAGTACTACATATGAGAACTACGTAGTGCTCCGTATTTTTTAAAGAAATACAAACATGCTAGGGTACACCAAGAAGTGTATCCCAAATTCCCAATTTATACTCCAAAGGGATGCATTAGTATTTTAATGATTCACGCTGACATAAAGTGTTAGTTCAATCAAAAAAGTTTTCACTGAGATTTTGTGTCATTGTAAAGAATTACACTAACATCATACTAGCATAAAATGTTGGCGTATGCATTCGGGGTGCAATTCTTGATGTACAAGTATCATTTCCCAAGGAAATATTACCCCCGTCTTGGAATATTTGTTCTTTTTTTTTTTTTTTCAGTCAATCATTTTCAACCTTTGATCTATAATTAAATAAAATATATATTGTTTTTTACTTGGATAAAATAATGTTTTGAAAATATTTTATATAAATCTAATAGAACTATTTTTGAATCAATATATACTATCATTTTTGTTTAATTTAGAGTTAAATTTATTAATTTTGATCGAAAAAGTCAAAAGTAAAAAAATACTTCAGAACGGGCGAGTATATTTCATTTTTTTTAAGTTTGAAAATTTTCAATTTATTCGGTTTGTCGATTTGGGTTCCCAGCTTTTTCAACTGAACCCGAAAAAATCCGAGCCGAAAATGGCCGGTATTTAATATCAACAGGCCCAACCCAAAGTCCCTATGTGAGTCTGTGACTATCAAACATACCGTCACTCGGCTCACTCCTAACTACACGCGCCTGCCGCCATTCTTCTTACTCCTAACTACTTCGTCGTCTTCGCTTGAGCCAGGTACATATCTACAACCCTCTGTTTTCCTTGTTTCTCTTGTTTTTCTTAATTTCTTCTATTCTTCCTTGTTTAACCAATTCCTTTTCTATTCAAACATCCTAGGGCGAAATTAGGATTCTATATTTCTAGGATTACGATTTCACAGTAGGAGTTTGCAGCTTCGCTTGGTTCAAATAAATTACTTCTGTGTTTTTAGGCTTTAATTTAAATCTGTATTTCATATTTATGGCTTACTTTAAATTTGTTAATTATTTGTGGTTTACTGCATTTCATTTATTGTTTTAGCTTAATGTGTGATGTTCTCTACTAAAATTGCTCTTAGTTTTAGAGTACCTATAAATATTTTTGTTACCTTTTCCCTCTAAGATACTTAAAAGAATTTTTATTCATGCAAGAACAACAACTAGTTGAATACCACGAGAGTAGAGTCTGGAGAGGGTGTGTGCATGCAGACCTTGCCCCTACTCAAGAGTAGGGAGGCTGTTTATAAGAAACCCCTAGCTCAAACAACATAGATAAAATAAGATCACCGTGGACATATATAGCAGAGATAGCAAAAAGCACATAGAGGCTAAGAACAAACTAATTAAACAAAACAAAAGCACAACAAGAAAAGAGCACCAAGAAAGAATTTTTATTATAAATTAGTATGCTGTAAATAGAATTTTTGGGTAAGTTTCAGTTTTTTCAAAACCGACCGTAACTGGTCGGTTTACATCGGTCTTCCCTAAAAGCAGATCGGTTTTGGCCGGTTTTCAAGTACCAAAATGAAGTTCGGATATTTCGGCTTTCAACCGAAACGGACCGAACGGACTCAAGGTTCACCTCTAGGGAATATGAGAACTATTTAGTTTGATGTTTCATTTTCTTTTTTTTACACAACTAAGGATTGACTTGTCTAATTCTTATAAAAAAAAGGTTAAATTTTGTCAAACTAAACGTGAATTTAGCTGCATACTCCCTCCGTCCCAGAGTATTTGTCTACTTTTAACTTTTTTTGGTCAAAGTTGGTAAACTTTGACCCCAAATTAAATAAAAATGATTTTTTCAAAATAGATTTATTAAATTTATTTTATCAAATATTTTCAAAATATGATTTTATCTAGTTAAAATACAATATATATTCTATTTAATTATAGGTCAAAGATTGAAAACGGTTGACTAAAAAAAGTCAAAATTGGACAAATACTCCGGGACGGAGGTAGTATTTTTTTTGTAATATGAGTACTATTCATTTCATAATGCAAAGCATAATGACCTTTTTATTTATCTTTTCGTTAAATATCGCTTGTCAGTTTTTTTGTAACCAAATGTAGATCATGTGGATAAGTAAAATAAAGAGAGAAAGACTAAAATAAGATTAACATATAGGGAAAGAACCAAAATAAGAGATTCATATATATATATATATATATATATATATATATATATATATCTCCAAAATATGACATACGTAGTATAATGTTAGTAATACTACCAACATATAATACCAAAAAGCATTTTAAAATGTCAATATTCAGTGTCACAATGCAGTAATCTTATTTTAGAGATAAAAACATAAAACTTTTATTTTAGTAATAAAAGTTCTTTTCTACTCTTATTTTGACTGATTTTCTTAAAAATAAAATGCATATTCTGATGGGAAGGGCATTAACCGTGCCACCTCATATTTCTGAGCTCTTTTTAGACATGCATAGTTGAAATTACAATATGATATGTAGGAATTACATTATATTTCGGCTTAAAGAAATTATTTATCCTACCATCAATGCTACTCGATCTCTTGTTTTCACAAAGACATGAAGTTTCAAAAGTTAGTGGGAATTTCAACACCGCTCCAACAAGAATGTAGTTTATGTACTCGACTCATTTTACTTAATTCGTCAATCACTGCTTTTAATATTCTTCTTCATTTTAAGTTGAAAATTTTTGAAAGATCTTTATGAAACAAAGTGGTTTGTGTAGTTGTAAGATGATGCCGAGTAGTTCAAAATCTCAAGAATATTATCAAAACCTGAAGGAAGTTACAGCCCACACCATACAACCCTAACCATTACAAGTGGAATTGAATGCCCAATTGTAATGTAATAAAGCCAGTAATTGTTGTTGCTGACATGTTTTTTCTTTGGGCACGTTTCTGTTGAGACTGGCCAACGGTGCCCCTAGCGATGTCACTGCGTTTTTGGAGCACCTCCGGTGCATCGTTCGTAAAATTGATGATACCCACCTAACCCGACCCCTAAACCCCCCACCCCAATCCCACCCCTACCCCCACTCCAACTCCACCCTAAGACCCTCTCCAAATGTGTGGCTATTATGCATTGCATAATAGCCACACATTTGGAGGGGTAAAAGGGGGGTTTAGGGTGGGGGCGCAGGGGTCAGGGTGGGGGGGGGAGGGGGAGGGGGGTTTGTGAGCGGAGCACCGGAGGAGCTCTAAATGAGCGAGTGTCATCCGTTGACACTAGAAGCCGGTGTCAACAAAACCTTGCCCTTTTTCTTTTGATCATTTTAATTAGTCTTTTTTTACTAAACTTCTTGGTATCCGAGCTACGAAAGTTTTCTTCACATTTTATCTTTTACGATCTCTAATACAATAATTTAAACATTAATATATATATCTATATTTATAAATAAAAATATGATATTTCAAAATTATATTTTCAAAACGAATCTATTGATATTAAATTTATATCATAATACATTTTATTTTTTCCCCATATATTAGGGCCTGTCTTATAAACATTAACCAAGAAAAGTCAAACAAGAAAAAAATTCAGGTGAAAACAAGAATTTTTTGTCTAAAAAATTTCATGTGTCACCTTAGTAGACATACACTATTTCAGCCTTCAATGTTCAAACTCTCACCAGTAAGAGACCAGTTCTTTTGGCATTAGCCACCGGTGTCATATTATGACATAGGTCCATTTAGAAGCCTTATAGTATTCCATTGTATCCGAAGTGGTTGCTAGTCTCGGGGGGGGTTGTGGGGAGAGGGGCATGTAGCCGCAGGGATTACTTTGGAGTCGAAAAGAGCACCATATGGTGCCCAAGTGGGTCGAGTGTCATAATATGACACCTTAACCCAATATCAAAATTATCTCTAACTTTCAAGTTTGTCAAAATTAACCCAGTGTCCTAATAGGACACCCAAACCCTGTATTAAAATTACCTCTAACTTTAATTTTTGTCAAAAAACTCAAAATTATCTCAGTGTCATAATATGACATCCAAATCTCGTATAAAACCTCTAACTTTTAATTTTCTTTGCTAATACAAAACAACCTCTCCTCACTAAAAAGCTCTACAAAACATTCATCTACTGAAATGAGGTTTTTGTGAGGAATCTATGCTTGGAGGCTCATTTGAAAGAGAAAAAAAAGCGTATTCCCTCCCACCAAGTTAGATTGTTTGGTTAAAAAATCTTCAACATAATAATATTTTTAATGCCACAGTACTTCCCCATTCTAACACAAAACGCGTGCTTCAAAAACAGTGTTTAGTAAGAAATCTTGAACTACATAATTCTAAATTTTCTCTCTGGGAACATGTTACTTTCTTGCCGATGACAGATGTCTGTGCTGGAAGTTATCACCAAAGTGTCAACCGAGACAAACCGTCCTGAAGCTGACCTCAAATACCCAATCATCCTGAACCCTGGACCAGTTCTCTTAGAACTGAAGCCCCAAGACCATGATACAAAGAATGACTTGCCAGTTAAAGGAGCTAGTGGGTGGAATTTCTCCAAAATTGACACTGAAATCATTGAGCTAGGGCAAAGCTTCTTCAAAAAATTAAAAAGGAAATCCCTTAGGTTTTGACTAGCGACACACTAGGCGACTCTTCTTCCCAGTAAAGTGTTTCATTTTTTTATTTTTTATTTTTTTGTGAGTGAAACATACGGAATATGTGTTCTGTGGAGTTTTTTTTAAGGAAATCTGCTTTATATTTTTTTAAAGTAATATGTTATCTATTCTTGTTTTCTACAAAGTATATACTAAGTAATGTATTTCATACCCATAAAATTAATTATTTCATCGTATATGCTTTTACATCAGTATCAATAAAATTATTAAGGTCACCATAGCCCACTCGCCCAGCGGACGCCTAGGCGGGCGCTTAATCGCCTAGGCGATTGAAAGGTACTCTAGCGCCCAGCCTCACCTAGCCGCCATAACAACTATGCTAGTCGCTGACTAGTCGCCAAGGCGTTTTCTGAATGGCGACTTGCACATCGACTAGCGACTAGGGTAGACTAGGCGAGTTAAGCGACGCCTAGGCGACGACTAGTCTATGAAGAAAACTTGCCGAATTTGCCCCAACCCTGCCCAAATTTCTTTAAATTTTAAAAATTACTCGATAGAACACAGACACACAGCCTCCCTCGATCGGTTCAATCAACACAATCGAAATCCAGTGAATCGACATTTAACCCTCCCCGAATCGCGACATCTCCTTCATTTACATCTTCTTGAGTTCCAACAGTTCCAGGATCAATTGTTTGGAATTGATTCCTATTCATCTTCCAGGATTCACACGCTCTCTATCCACGGGTAAGATCTCTTTATCTTTAATTATTTATCACTATACTCTTAATTTGTTTTAATTTTCTTTAATATGGTTCATTAAAATATTAAAGTATATTATACTCAATTTTTCAGTTTTCTTCAGTTTTATTAATTTTTCAGTGACTTTATGTGCTACCTTTAAACCTAATTTTGTTTTGGTAATGATAATTTGTCATATAAATATATGTAGTTATCTTGGATGAATGAAGATATATATAATGTCAAAAATTTCAATACTAATTGTGATTTGTCGACTAGTCTACGACTAGTAGGCCGACTAGTCCACTAGTCTCCCCTTCACCGGCTCGACTCAACTTGTCGGCGTAACAACCATGGATTGAATAAGGTGAATGTTTGACAATTACATCCGTTGTGCCACATGCCTATCCCTCAATTCATGGGCTCGTTAATTTGTAGTGTTAAAGCATTATTTATGAGTCATGCTAGGGGACACCATCTATGACACCACATATGACACCCTGTATGACGCCATTGTGTCTCGTAGACGCATATACAATAACAGTTTGAACTATATGTGAAACACAGTGGTGTCATAGCTGGCGTCCCCCTAGCTTTTTCGATTGTTTTTAGACACTTTGCTCTTTTCTACTTAATATTCTGAATTGAAATGTAGATCCACCAAAACTTAGTTGATATTTCCGATTCCTTCTATTCTCTTACCATATGATGCTAATTTGGAAACCGGGACCGAAGCAACCAAATTTGAGGATAAGGCGAGAAGAAAGTACTGCCCTCTTCAGGCTTATCGTATATTTTTGTAATCTGCATTTCAGGCACCCCTAAAGCTGTAACCTCTGTTTTCAATATACAATGCCATTCCATATGGAAAAGGAATAAGGACAAGTGAAGAAAAGAGTGAAAATGACACAATATCCAGTGGGCGGAATGTGTCTTTACTTAAAACAAAACTTTTGGAGTTCCTAACATTATATTGTATGTCTATGTATAAGGGAAATTTATTGGGGTGCTTTGCTGGAAGCCAGGAATTGCTTCTGTCTTATTTTTTTTTGGTAGGTTGAGGGTATGATAGGGAAGGTTTGTTTGTTTTTTTTAAATATAACATATTTGACAGTTATTTCTCCAACCTAGAAATGTACTAATAGAATAGCATATCATCTTGTTGTGTGATCCTGTGATGAAACCATATGCCTATTTGGTGGCATCTCAAGGTATCATTTTGATTATGTGTTTATTGTTTTTGTTTAGTTTTTTATCACGGAGTATATAAAATTTATTTTCAAATTTTACACTTACAATTAAATAAAATTGCATTGAAAATAGAGCCAATCAAGTCTCGTAATGCAAAATGAGAAAATTTATGAGGGAGGGAGGGAATACTAATTAAGAAAATACTAATTAAGAAAAATAATACAATGTGGAGCAAGAAATCATTTTATCACAGTCATTACTTAGGGTGAAAAGGACAAATGAATCATATTGAATCTAATTAACTATTTTTACTCTTGAAACAATTAGTCATGTCATCATTAGTTTTGTAGATCTTTTGGTGTTGTTTTTAAATATGTAATTTTTATTTTTAATTCTGCATCATTTGTCATATAAAATGATTTAAGAATAACTTCAGTCAAACATTGTAAACCAAAATAGGGAATTTAAAATGGGAGAGAGGGAGTACTAAACAATGTGTTAAAGAAAGAAACAATATATTCCAATATATATGTTACAGTATAATTATATAATGGTAGTTGCTTTGTATGATTCTTTTTTCTTTCGTATTTCTTTCTTTAGGAGTTGTTTCCATATATATATGCAGTTAAAAGCCCGTGGGATCCTGCATGTACACACAGCCTTTATTCATATTATAATCATCAATAATACAAGAGAAACATTTTCTCCCAAATGTTATTCTTTCAAAGCGTCACAAACAAAACACGACAATCAAATCGATTATACACAAAGTAATTGACAACCTATATATCATGATGTATTCTCCTCTCAATAATAATAATAATAATAATAATAATCCCATATGGAACCAACACAAAGTAATAAGCAAAAGCGGACACCACCCGTGTTTTAAGCAAGATAAATAATGGCAATTTATATGAAAGAAAAGAAAGAAAGAAAGAAAAAGGAAAAGGTAGCGTTAGATAGAATCCATTGGGGGGAACTCGAGTATTCCGCATGACTAGCTCGGGGGCACACCAACATTCCCATCGATCATCAGGAGCATGTGCACATGCCCCATAATACCATCCATCCGTTTTTAGTCCCACCCACCACTGCACACACAAAAAGCTACACATGCATGCATTCTTAGTTCATTTTTACCCATCCATATATCTCCATCAATTTTTTTATTATTATTCCCAAAGCCTGGCTCGACATGGCACAACTCCTCCACTCAAATCATCGCTCGGGAATCTGATTGAAACAGCTTAGCATTTATTACCTACAGTAGATTTACACCTACTGCACAAATGCTAGCTAGCTAGCTAGCTAATTAGGTTCAATTCCTCCCTAGCTAGCCAGCCAGCCAGCCTCTAAGCCTAGTAGCTAGCTAGCATGTCCATTCAAACTCACGCCACTCCGAATCGATTCTTCTATTTAAAAGAAAACAGGGTTCTAGTGGCCAAGGTGGCCGGGTAATAAGTAATTCACCACAATCACCAGTGATGCTACCATACGAACCCATGAGATTAAAGTGGACACTAGCCGTGTTTTACGCACAAAAAATAATAGGAATCCACTCGTTGTTCTCATACGGAGTACTCCATATATGGTAATCACGTCTAATTTTATAGCTATCCAGACGATAATCATATGTGTACACAGAAGATTATCCTCTGTCTCTAGGGCACCCATGTTGGGCTTCTAGCATTTTTGTTATTTTTTAAAGATGATCATTGTTGGTGCAAACATAATCAAGCAAATGATGTCAACTTTTGTTTGGTGTATTAGGAATAATAGATGTATTAAGAAATAGAATATTGTTATTCATTACCATCCTTATTACATTAATTCCTTATTGTATTGTTACCATAATTTTTCTCCTATTTAGATTAAAATTCTCTCTTGTAATCCTTATATATAGGGATGTAGCTTTCATTGTTCAATAAAACCAATTATTATCCATTTGTATCATGGTATCACAGCTAAAGCTCTCAAAAACCTAGCCCTCCTTTTTCGACTGAGCACATCGCCGGTCTTTGTTCACGGCGGTCGATCGTTCGGCAGCATGGCATTGCCGACCGATATCGACGAGCTTGCCTAGTAGCCACCGTCCATTATCCCTCTCTTTCTCTTAAAAACATCTATTATGTCTCTCTCTTCCAAAAAATAATGTGTGTGATCAAAGAACGCGAAAGTTGCATTTGTCTGTGTTTTTTTCTAGAGACCGAGAGCATGGAAAGCAATAGAGAAGTAGAGAACGACCCAAAAGGAGAAAGAAAGAAACTCCACGCCCTCGCTCCAATCGCCAACACTCTCACCAGAAAAAAACTCAGCAAACGCAATCTCAAACTCGTTCGCCATGCAACAAAGATCTGGCTCTCTACCTCTAGAGGCTATCCTCACAAATCTGCTTCCGCCGGCTCAATTCCAGTACCTGTGTTCCAACTGCTCTTTGTTACCGATGGTTAGCTTGTGGGAGATATTAGAAATAATAGATGTATTAAGAAATAGAATATTGATATTCATTACTTTCTTTAGTACATTACTTCCTTATTGTATTGTTACTATAATTTTTCTCTTACTTAAATTAGAATTCTCTTTCGTAAAATATTGTTACTCAAATTTTATTAGTTTCTAACATTTTTGATAAATCACAATATCTAAATATTCCTTAGCTTCCATTCTATTGATGATGAGCCTGTTTGGGAATAGCGTTAGAGATTAGTGTTAGCGTTTTGGATAAAATTTTAACGGTGTAGATTACTTTGAAAATGCTAAAAGCTGACCGTAGATAGCCTTTTCAAAACGCTGACGCTAATCTCTAACGCTATTCCCAAACAGGCCCGATGTCTTTAGACACTTTTTATCATGTTCGATTGATACTCTCTTCGTTTATTTTTTATCTTCCTATTTTGAACAATATGTAAAATTTGGCATTAAAGATATGCAAAAAAATTTGGACCTACAACAATATGTTTGAGTTTATGGTTAGTTCAGTTACTAATTCCTTGACATATTTCTATGTTTGAGTACTCTTACCTGTATCTTTATAACATATTCTTAAAATTTCGGTGCGCCGAGAACAACAAACAGAGTATCAAGTTGTAATTAGTTTGGCCTAGTGAGCATTTTGACTGACGGGTCAAGCATTTCAATCTTTTAAAACTAACCACCCAACGAGGAGTAACATCTCAATCTCTTATAGCCAGGGCAACCCAAACCACGAACGGGTAGCTCATATCGCTAAGTTCACATCCAAACAAGTTGGAAGAATAGAACCCGGACTGGACATGTTTCGATACCATGTTAAATTTTCAGTGGGTCGAGAACAACAAGCAGAGTGTCGGATAAAATTAACCAATTGCGTCTAAAATGAGAATCTACAATCTAAAAATCCTAAAATTTAAAGTGATATGTAAGACTTAATCTTTCCATACATGGTAGTGGTATTCCATTACCTTTTGTGATGTGGGAAATCAGCATAGTACGTCTTAGATTTATACACTCCAACCAATACATTACATAAGCTAGCTTGTGGTGGGAAGGAAAGGTGGAATACCTTAGCTGGTTAGGTAAAAATGGATGCAGGGAAATACACAGAAATGGAGAGTGTTACTAAAGGCGAAACCGAAATGCCAAAAGACACCTACAGGGTTGCATACATAATCCACTTCCTGCTCGGTGCAGGGAGCCTTCTGCCGTGGAACGCCGTGATCACGGCAGTCGACTACTTCGGGTACTGTTACCCGGCCTCCCTCCACGTCGAGAAGGTGTTCTCCGTGGCGTACATGGCCTCGTCTCTGGCAACCTTGGTGGTCATGTTAATGGGGTTCGGGACGAGCCACGCCGGTTTGGCGCAGAGGTTTAGGGTCAGAACGAACATGGGATTCTCCATGTTTGTTCTGTCCCTCATGCTGACTCCAGCCATGGACTGGTGGCTGCAGGAGAAGAAGGGGCCGAGTGCTGGGAAATGCGCCACGCCGTACCCTGCGGCGGTTTCCGCGGTGGTGATCTGCGGTTTGGGCGACGGTCTGGTCGGAGGAGCCCTGTTTGGGTCTGCTGGGAAGCTGCCCAAGGAGTACATGCAAGCCATCTTTGCCGGGACGGCCTCTTCAGGTTAATTTAGTAGTGTCACATAATTATTAGTTTCATCCAATTTCATTACTGGTAATTAACTTAACTTAATTGGTTCATCATTTAATATATTTTATTTAAAATACACTTGCGCTATTCGAAAATATTTCGAGTGTTTCCAAACAAGCCACTAAAGCAAAGTGATTGGTGACGATATAGATGTACGGAGTATATTAAAAGTGATTATTCATGGGGTTGAATAATCATATGAGTTGATCAATCAATACGCTAGTTGGCAATCTATTCCTTAACTTTCCTAATCCTTAGATATTCAGTGTCTTTTCCTAATTTGTATGGTAATCATAGTATTCATTCAAACTTTATAGTACTAATCACAAAAAAAAACAATTCTTAAAAGAATAATGAAGAAAAAATTAGGGGAACTTTTTAATAGGAGTAAATGAGTATGAAAATACACTCATACTTTAGTATTATACTACTCCCTCGGTCCTAAAAACATGAAAGTTATTGATTTTTAAGAGATTTATGGAAAGTATATTTTGATATTAGATTTCCAAAAAAGTCCTTTGATGTGATAGGTAAAGTAGGATTTGATGGTTAGATTATTAGTAAAAAAGTCTAATGTGATAGGTAGAATATAAAAAAATAAGGGATAAAAGTGACTTTTTAATAGAAATAAGAAATATTTTTAGGACAGATTAAAAAAGAAGAAGAAAGGTTTTCAGGGACGAATTGGAAGGAAGTACGTTGTCGAGATTTAGTCTTATGTATGGAGATTTTTTTTTAAAAATACCCTTCTCGTCTCAAAACTAAATGTATAATTAATTTTTTTGTTTGAATTGCTACACACTCTAAACACAAATTGTCAAAAAAAATAATAATGGTAACATAAATTTAATATTATTAGGTTAATTTAAAGAAGTAGTTTTGATATATAAAATTTTACTTAACGTTTTTCTCGTTTCCATTCACGAGGTTTGACCAATTTTTTTAAATTCAATTTATTTGATTGTAGGTATAAAATAAAAAAATAAAATTTATACATTTAAAAACTACATTAAAAATTTTACAAAATAAGAGGTAACAAGACTGCATTAAAAGTTTAAATAATTAATGAAAATATGTATATAAAAAGTGATTAAAGTTTGACTGTGTGAATAGTAACTAGAAAGAACGTTTTAGGACGAAAGGAGTAGCAATTTGACCTCAAATGTATTAAAAAACCACTATTACCTCTTGTTTTTTCATACCCTACCTATCATATCATACCTTTTTCCTAATAATCTACACATCACATTCTACTTTTACCAATGACATCAAGGATATTTTTGGAAAATCAACATAAAATTATCCCTCCTTTATTTTACCACTTTAATCAAATGTCCCAATCTTTATGGGACGGAGCGAGTATTAAACATTTCTTTGTGCATGAGTAAGCAAAGAACAAGGAACTACTATTCTTGGAGAAACTAAAGTAATTACAAAAATGCTATAAATCCATGCATCATGCTTGATACGTACCAAGAGTTTGACATCAAATCTTTATAAGTTTGTACTATGATTGACTTATGCAATCTAAATTTTGTTTGGCCTTGTGGAAATAAATTACCAACAGGAGTTTTTATATCCATATTGAGAATCATCACAAAAGCATCCCTTCCGCAGACGCCTGAGGGCCTAAAAACCAGCGCACACCTCTACTTCATCGTCAGCACCGCTATTCTCCTCCTCTGCATTGCCTCTTCCAACCTCCTCTACAAGCTGCCCGTGATGAACCACCACCACCACGGGCTCGCCCCTGCAGGCGATAAGACCCCGAGATTCTGGGAGGTGGCACGAGCGGTCAGATGGCCCGCCTTTGGGGTCTTCATGATTTACACTGTCACCTTGTCCATCTTCCCGGGTTTCCTGGCCGAGAACATCCGGTCCGACACCCTGAAAGATTGGTACCCCATCCTGCTCATCACTCTCTACAACGTGTCGGATTTCTTGGGGAAGTCCGCGAACGGAATCTATGTGGTGAAGAGCATTGGGAAGGCCACCTGGGGCTGTGTGGGCAGGGTTTTGTTGTACCCTTTCTTTAGCCTCTGCCTCCACGGCCCCAGGTGGTTGAAAACCGAAACGCCCATTATATTTCTTACCGTGATTTTGGGAATAACCAACGGGTACTTGACCAGTGTTCTCATGATCCTTTCCCCGAAAATGGTCCCGGTCTCCGAATCGGAGACCGCTGCCATTGTCATGGCTGTATTTCTTGGATTGGGTTTGGTTTCGGGCTCGGTTCTTGGATGGGTTTGGATCATATGAACTCGGAATGTTTGTTTGTTTGGGTAATGTACGTGAAACCGGCCGGAGGGTCAATTCAAAGTTTGTGCACCCGACCAAAACCAATGGAAGGCCGGGCGGCATGATAAATTTGATCTTTCTTCTTCTGAATGTAGAATTAGAATGCAGGTGATATATAGCTGTTTGAGAAGCAGAGATCCTAATGTGTTGAATCATTTATTGCAAATCCAAAACTTGGGTATCAATATAATGTTTTTATTTTTTTATTTTATTTATTTTTCCTTCAAAAAAAATGTGAGAGTGAGAGAGTGCACTTATAAAAAATATAAGGGAAAATTTACTTAAATAACACTAAAACATAATAGTTTCCCTAAGTAGCATCATATGTATTTTTTACTCAATATAGCACATTTGGTCATTATCCATTAGTCATTATTGAAGTAAATATTTGCATGGACATTATTCTTTTCCTCTGGACATTATTAAGTGTTTTTTAAGAAATAAAATAATTTAAGTGCTATTTAGGGATATGAATTAAGTTTTAGTGCATTTCAAAATGAAATATATCTTGATTTTTATCTCTAAAATATGATGTAAGTTAGTTTTAAATTTAAAAAAGTAGTCAGTTTTTAAATTAAAAAAAATCCGGTCGTCTGTTTGCTTCAAGCTAGACAAATGATACAGAGTACGTGATGTGTGTATACTGCGACACATTTTCTTTTTTAGTCCAAAAGATCCTTACGGGTTCATTTTATGAAACAAAAATCAATGAAACATATTTTCTTTTATTAAATTGAAGCTCAGCTTTCATTTTCTTTTCATTTTTTTCGTTTTTTATTTTTTGTTTATCATTATAATTTTTATTAGAAAAATAAAAATATTTAAATGGAGACAAATGAAGTATATGTTACTTTTTTTAAATTTTTTATTTCAAAGACAAACAATTTTTATTTTTTAAAACGTTTAAAAAACATATTTTTAAAAATAACTAACATGCATTGGTTTATGGATAAAAGAGAATAAAAAAGAAAAACAATAAAATAAGGAGAAGGCATTGCATTGGTACCCATTTTCAAAACTGTAGAGGGTAGCAGAACTATTCACATTAGATTTGAAAGATACTTTAGGCCTTATTCCGTTCAAGTTATTTTTTCTTATATTTTCTTATTCTTATTAAAATCAGATCAGATCAGATCAGACCAGATCAAACTAGATCAGATCCCGTAAAAAATTATTATTATTATTATTATTATTATTATTATTATTATTATTATTATTATTCTTCTTCTTCTTCTTCTTCTTCTTAAAAATTAAAAAGAATAAACTTTAGAAACAAGTTAAATAGAAAAGTGAGAAAGTAATCCTTAATTATCAGACGTCGATTTTTTTTTTAGAAAATACATTGACAATGTCAATCTAATTTTTACTTTTAAAATACATTTTTATTGCTACTTGTAATTTGAGTTTCTAAAGTTTTGATCTTTTGTAAGGATGAGATATTTTAATAAAAATACTATCTCTTATATATTGATTATCTAAATTTAATTACTTTTTAATGTATATATAAATTAAATATTTATTCTAATGTATATATGAAGTAATTATTAAAATATTAAATTAATATTATAATTTCACAAAAAAATAATCATAAAATAAAAAATATTATTACATTATAATATTAATGATTATTCTAATATATGAATTAACTAATTTTATTTTATTAAAAAATATTCGTAAAATAAAAATATTGATTATATTAAAATATGAATTATCACTACAATTTTCAAACGTTATTATAAAGTCAAATCAAATTATTGATTTGAATTTTAAATCAAATAATAATTAATCAGATCAGACCAGATCATATCAGATCCGATCAGATAAGATCCAATCAGATCAGACCAGATAACATCAGATCAGATCAGAACTTATTAAAATCAGATCAGATAAGAAAAAAATAAGTTGAACGGAACGGAGCCGTAGTCTAGAGGACTATTGATGTAGGAATATCAAACCAGAATGGACAAGACGTATGTTTTCACATCATGAAGAACAATGATGCATATTTACCAAATCAGATGAGGTATTAGTACAATAAACACTATAAAATGGCGAATTAGATAGCAACTCATGAAAACTAGATAGGTATTTGACCTTGAGACATGAAATGATTAAGTATATTAGGCCTTATAAAACGAAAGAATCCAACTACGAGGCCAAAAAAATACTCACTTCGTCCCGAATTTGATTACAAATTAGGATTTACGAGGAGAAATATCTCACTTTTTGAAATCATTTTATTTACAAATTTGTATACTGATAAGAAATAAAAATGTCATAGTAAAAAACTACGTCAAAAGTTCTACAAAATAAGAGTTGATACGAATATTTTATTTTATCAAATATTTAATGAAATCCAGAAACAAACAAAAATTATCGAGAGGAGAGAAAAAAATTGTAATCTAATTGGGGACGGAGGGAGTATGTGAGAAGGTCTACATTGTATAAGTGGACCTTAGGACCACAATAACAAAACTATTTTTGGGTAGAACACCCACATCAGGTGTCCATACATTCTGACCCGATAAGATTTTGAGGAGGTTAATTAAATCATTGTATAATTTTAGTCTGATTTTTAAAGATACTGCTTCATGCCCAATGCGCATAAGAGAGTATTACCAAGAATAGGACTTCCACATTGTTGCTGACAGGATTCGATCTTAAGATATTTGAGTTTGACATTCTCTTCTTGAACTAGCTAGCTAAGCTACCTATGAGGGCAGATAAAAACTTTTCGATAGGACATGAAATGGTACTTTAACTTTTCAGGTATTGACAGATATTTACGGACCGGAGTTATATTTTGTAAAGTATGTTGAAAAATACTTTCTCCGTTTGAGAAAACACTCTCTCTTCCATTTTTTTCTTCCACCAAATTAAAACATTTCACTTTCTATTAAAAAACTACTTCTACCTCTACTTTTTCTTACTACACCTATCACATCTTGTTTTTTCTCTAATAATCTATCCATCATATATTACTTTACTAATCACATCAAGGGCAAAATTAGAAGTCAATTAAAATTTTACAGTCCCTTATTTTGGATCTTGATCAAAATGAGAAGTATTTTTAAGAATGGAGGTAATATTAAATACTTGTTTAGAAAATGAGATTTTTCTCCCAAAACCCAAACAAGATTTCTTCGGATTTTGGTCGTTTTGCTTTTCCAATTTCTTCGTTCAGTGGCTACGGAAACCACTGTCCCCTATGGAGCTCTGGTCTGCAAATATCCGCCAATACCTAAAAAGTTAAAGTTCCATTTCATGTCCTATCGAAAATTTTTTATGTGCCCTCATGGGTAGCTTAGCTAGCTAGTTCAAAAAGAGAATGTCAAACTCAAAAGTTCCGTCAATACCTGAAAAGTTATACTCCCTCTGTCCACCATAGATCTTCCCAATAGCCCTTTTTCTTTGTCCACAATAGATCTTCTCATTTCATTTTTTAACAAGTAAAATACCACAACTACCCCCACTTACTTTATTTATTACACCTCACCCACCTCATTTAATACACTCCACCCATTTTTCATTAAGGGTATTATGGTAAACTTTCACCTTTTTTCAACTCTCCTTAAAAATCACCAAAAGTCAAAATGNGTCAATACCTGAAAAGTTATACTCCCTCTGTCCACCATAGATCTTCCCAATAGCCCTTTTTCTTTGTCCACAATAGATCTTCTCATTTCATTTTTTAACAAGTAAAATACCACAACTACCCCCACTTACTTTATTTATTACACCTCACCCACCTCATTTAATACACTCCACCCATTTTTCATTAAGGGTATTATGGTAAACTTTCACCTTTTTTCAACTCTCCTTAAAAATCACCAAAAGTCAAAATGAGAACATCTTAGGCGGACGGAGGGAGTACTATATAACTCGGATATTTGCATACCGGAGTTATATATATATATATATATACACACACACACACACATATCTGTATGTGTGTGTGTGTGTGTATGTATGTATGTATATATATACATATATGTATGTATGCATATATATAATCCGGGTCATTGAGTACTGTCAAACAATATTACGATACACACAATTAACATAGTCTAAACATTACAACATCACCATAGTCTATCTAAGGCTGAAAGTATTTGTTCCTACACCTGCACTTCCACGAGAGGAGATAGTAGTTCTCATCTTCCCCGGGGCCGCCGCCGCCACTTGCGGTAGTCCTTTTAAACCACCACCGCGGCTGCCGCCTCTTGTGGTGCGGCGGAATGACTAGCGCCGCCACGCAAGGCCTGCACCCCATGCACCTCCCCACACACCTTGGTGGCCTTGACCCCAATGCCATTCTCATCATCATCTGTTTTCCTCTTCCTGCATGTACGTATATACACCAATGGAAGGCCAAACAAAAACACTCCTCACTTCCTGAATTACATAATGCAGTACAATTAACCCACAACTGTCTGTACATTCATTTACCTGAAATGGAAGGGAGCAGAGCCATCGAATAGAAGAGAATGACAATGAGAGCAAGTTTGAGCACACTCCGGAAGACATTGGAAGCCATTATAATAACAAGCTAGCTAATTTGAGATGAATTAGTCACCCTTAATTAAATGAGAGTATGTATGTGGGTTGGGAAGAAGAATTTATGGAATGAAGAATTGTTTTGATCTCCTCCTATATAGTACTCCGTATGTTGTGTGAGTAGATTGAACTGTCAAGTGTGGTAGGGCCTGAGCATAGTTCGTCTCGTCTAGTCAAAGGGGTCAAGACTCAAAAAAAGATTGAAAGAATGATAGAACAAAGATTTTACTCCCTATTATTTTGCTCCCACTTCCCCTTTTGAGGGCATCCCCAATATGAATAAAGCTAGAGGTACACCGAAATAGTGGGTGTACCGTGTACCTCATTTATACACCAGACAAACACACACATTAAATGTCTATGATCATAGACACTAATATTTGTGATCATAAACACTTGGTATTTATATATATTAGCTTGGTATACAAATGGAATACACCATTTTGGTGTACCCCTAAGGTTGCCGCTCCAAGATATAGGACTCTAAAGAGAGTTTGAGGAGGAGTATTAAGACTCTCTTCCTCGGGGCTCATCCTTTATTAAACATCAACACACTACTATGCAATGTTTAAAAGATTGGTATGTAGTATATAAAATAGTGAGATAAAATAAACTTTATGAATTGTATAAAAACACCATCATATTAAAATTATTTTGGTGGTATACCAAAATGTTTCAATTGGATATGATATGAGTGTTTTAGATAGAATATGAGTGTAACACCCCAAAACACATCCTAAAAGTATTATTGAATTGTTATTCAATTAAACAAATTCATTTTGATTAAAATAAAATATTGTTGGGCCTTGGCACGAAATGAAATGTGTTTGATATCCAATATCACAAACTGGATAAATCTCGTGGATATAAATCCAAAATACAAACTTTATGTGTAATCTTGATTAAAGACCAGAGTATAGACCTAAATCAAGATTAAATAAAGAATCGTTTGATTGATGTGAACTTTTGAGATGATTTATTGAAATAAATCATTAGACTGAATAATATGAATTGAATATGAGAATATTTTGAATAAAAGATTAATTAAATCAATTTTGACTCTGTCAAGTCAAACACCCAAAAATATATTGTCAGAAAAAGTTTTACAAATAAAAATAAAAATTATATAGTTGTGTAGAGTTTGACCGTCTGATCGCAACGGTGCAATCTGATTTTAATTCGGAGAAAGTTGAAACAAAAAGTGTACCCTCACTTGGACAAAATTAGTCCCAATCACGAAAAGACGTGCTGAATATACCAATATCGCACTAGCCGAACTCGTCGATCGTAGATCACCACTGACGTTCGGAACTTTGGCTTCGTCTTTCATCTTATTGATATATAACGCCACCTCAACTTCCACAATTCTTCACCAATTCTTCCTATTTCTTCTTCCATTCTATTCTTTGTTGAGAGAGAAGTGAAGTGGTGCTGCTAGGACAATGAAAGGTAGCCAGAGTGAGTCACAATCGTCACCAGAAGTTTCGCTAGAATTTTTCCAAAACCTTCATTTTTGCCTGAGGTAAGCCCTTAGATATATCTGGTGATTAGAATGTTCATATAGATCGTTTCTACGTTCACAAATGATCGTTTGGTTGAGTTTTGTCTTTGACATGCATGTTTGATGAACCAGGAATCATAAACCTTGAAATTCTTGTTAAAACTTCGAATTAATGGTACTAAAATGATCTATGAGTGTTGGAGAATATTCCTATATAATTTAATTGAAGTTAGGTAGCTTAAAATGATGTTTTTGAAAATGGACCTGAGGTTGAAGATGATGACTTGCAGAACAGTCGACCGTCGTTCCAAATGGTGAACCATCTTCTGCCCAGTTCAGTTCCTCCGCTGGAACGGTTGACCGCCGAAGGTAAACGGTCGACTGTTTTCCATCCAGTAGCGACCTGGTGCGAACGGTCGACCGTCCAATAGTAACGGTCGACCGTCCCAAACATTTTCCATCATGAAAAACCTGATTTTGAAGTTATAAAATCCTATTTTTTGATACCATTCAACTATGATCAATATGAATATGATTTTCAAAATTAAATATGATGTTTTGACAAATCAAGAACCTTGTATGATGCATGACGGTAAGCTAGAATGCTAACACTCGATGCTAGGCCGCTAATTGTTATAAAGTATTATGATGATTATCGTAGATTATTGATTATGATGATTGAACCATGATTTAATAATGAATTGATGTTGATAATGATTTTATTGAATATTGATTATGATCATATAATGATGACGATCTTATCTTGACAAAATATCAAATTATTGTTATGAACAAATAACCAGTAAGAATAATTGTGATCGAATATGTTTGCATGAATAAACTGATTAAATGATGATAGTGAATGAGTAAGTCTATCTAGAAAAACTCTAAGATAGATCTCATATGACCAATATAGTTAGGCCTTGCGGGTATGATGTCCGGTGGCTTGGGGTTAAAACGTACGTGCAGGATCTACAAACCAAACTAGATTATTACTTGTTTGGGGGTACCACCCAATCCGATAGTGAGTAGTCCGATGTTCGGTTTTCTCCCTTAAACTGATTAAGAGTCTGGTTATTAGTTGCCTTAAACTAATTATAGTTTAAGAGTTTGGTTATTACTTGCCTTAATTATAGTTTGAAAGTCTGGTTAATCAAATAAAAAAACCTTAAACCAGCCATAGTTTAAGAGTCCGATTATGAAAATATGGATTTGACCTTAGATTAAAAATAGTTTAAGAGCGTTGTTATGATTTGATCTTAGACTAAGAATAGTTCAAAAGCATTGTTATGATTTACCCTTAAGAATAGTTTAAGAGCACTATTGATATTATGAATATTAAATATCTAAATTAAATATTATGTGCATAATATCAGATTGATTTGGTTATGAATTAAGATTCAGTTTATGTGGATGTTTTATGCATTAGATATCCTTATTCTCCTTCACCGCTGAGCGTGTATTACGTTTTATTTGTTACACGCAGGTAAACAAAAAGAATGATGTGATCTGATCCTGGCGGCAGAAGGGGTGAGATTGTCGGGATGGATATGATGGCTTTGAACTGTTATTTCAAAAGACAAATCAATTATATTTTGTGATTGTGATTTTTTAAGCTTCCGCAACATTAAAAACTCTGTACAGTTTCTATTATAAATATTATTTTGTGAGAATTAAAAGTGTTTGAAATGTTTTAAATTTTATGATTACCAAATTTATACTTTAGTCCGAAAGGGGCTGTAGACCTGGACGGATTAGGGTGCTTCAATGAGGAGTTCTATAAATGAAACAAACCACAAAGCCTTCATATTTATAAAGAAAATCTTACGAGGCATGTCTTTTCTATGAACCAACACAACTATTCGGGCAGTATTCAAATATAACCTAAAGCTACTATTTGAATAATAAGGTGTTTTTCATACTTCACTTTTGCTTCAGGAAGTTTGCAGTATTTGAATCCTAAAGCTAATATTTGAATAATAAGGTGTTTTTCAGAATTTAAGTATTGATACGGACTAAGAGTGAGAAATTATAAAGGCTGTTTATAAATTATAAAAATTACATACTTGGGTTGGAATGAAGAGTGTAATCACAAAAGGCTGTCTATTAATTATAGAACAAAAATATATTTAAATTGAGGCACGTTAATTAATTATGGAGCACAAAATACAAACCATACAAGTAACACACAAATACCTAGGCACGTTGAGTCACCTTTCACCGCCTTTCATTCGTTCCCCATCGATCATTGGTTAGTTCATTTACATTTCAAGGTGAGCCTGTGGGCTTACTTATTGTAGAACATGCATCGGGGTTGAGTCTATGTTCATGATTGATTGCCATGAATGATTACCACATTTGGTTAATGTATGAACCTCATTTGTATTGCATGATCATTGTCTTGAAACTTTGTTGTTATATCGTAAAAAGTGAGAAAGCATGGTTTAAGCGTAGACTTGTTGTGACGATGGCCCTAGGTGATCTAGAAGTGTTGTATGTTGTTGTATTTAATTGTCATTGGTGTTAAAATACTTGGAAAACCCAGTCACGCACTTCGTCTCTGTGTTACCGAGTGACAGTAGGGTGTTACTGGTTAACAATAGTGCATTACCACCTAGCGATAGTGTCTCTTACTGTTACACGCAAAGTCTTTCAAACGGTTATGCTTACGAATGGTATTTCTGCTACTGACTAGTGGTACCCAAGTACCATTGGATGGTACACAGTAGCCAAGTTACCGACTAACGATACCCTGTTAGCGCTGGACGGTACCCAGGTCTTGTGATAGGTACTACTGGACTACATAGCTACTTTAATTCCTATATTGATTGAACTAATTTCATGGATTGAGTTCCAGACCTTGTATGCTGCATGACAGTAAGTGCGAGTGTTAACACATAGCACTAAACGCCATTTGTTATAGAATGTTATTGATGATATTGTTGTAATGTTGTTGGTACCTTGAACTATTATAACCATGTAAAATTGATGATAATGTGAGCATAAACAATATGGATTTAACAAATCGATGATCTTGGCTATCTAGAAGTACTCTAGAACTAAAAACATAAGTTGTCAATATGTTGTTCAGACTTCTGGATATGAGTGTTTAGTGGCTCTGGGGTAAAAACGTATGTATGGGAATCCAATACTCATATGAGGATGTGTTAAATAGGGGTTCCACCCACTAGTTAGAGAACTCCTAACTATTATAGCCGAGACCTTTTGAGAGTGGATTAACTCATGAATCCTAGTTTTAAATAATGTTTATTTGACCATAGCCTAGATTAGATTATGTATACGTGTTATGAAAGACTTTATGTCACCTATGACTAAGAATACTAAAATGACATATAGTATACTTCATTATTTGAACTGTGTTTTATGTATTGCATAATATCATTTGATTGTTTTGAATTGTTAATTTATCTATGTGTATATTTGAAACTTAAGATATTCCCTTCACTCAGCTTATATATATATATATATATATATATATATATATATATATATATATATATATATATATATATATATGTATGTATGTATGTATATATATCTATATATGTATATATATATATATATGTATGTATATATATATATATGTATGTATATATATATGTGTGTGTGTGGGTGTGTATATATATATATATATAAAATTGACTCCAGTCAGATGACACATTACGATGAGATGACATACTTCAGTGAGATGACGCAAAGCTCACCAATGATCAATGCAAAGCTCACATGGAAAAAAGCAAAGCTCGCCACTTTGAACACCAAAACTCACAAGTTTTTAAAATTTTAAAATTTAAAAAATTAATTAAAAATAAAATAGCAACACAGGTCAACCACCGGTCCGGAGCGAAGA